TGTGTGAAAGCGTTCCCGTAGCCCTGCCAATATGCGACGAAGGTGGAACACCATGGGGTTTTAGTCGGTGCGAGTCCGACATAACCCGTCCTTGCCCCCCGCGAGGCGGGTATGCGTAGGCATTTCCCCATGTTAAAAAAAAGGCTAGAGTGGATATGATTTGAATTTCGATAGATTTTCATTAATTAATTTATTTAATGCAAAGTTTTTGTTTTTATTTTTTGTAAAATATCAGTGCCATAGGCTTCTACTCCGTTCACATGTTACAGCCTATTTTTTCCAGACGTTAAAAAAGATTATCTAGTATAATATAACTATATTTTTTATTATTTGACTAAAACTTTTGAAATAGCCTTTCAATTTTTTTACAGGATGCATTTCGAAGTGTGCGCAGGGATCGCATAATTTAATTTCGCCCTCTCCCTTCCAGTAGCGGACAACCAGACGCTCAACCAGTCGTGGTCAGTCTCCACCCTTTCGTTGTCGACTTACCACGCAATCGAACCGAACTGATTGCTTCAACGTCCGTATACAACAAAGGAGTGTAATAAGTTGCCAACATGTCTTTCTCTCCGATTACAATATGAGTGTCTTTAGGGTAACAGTAAATAGGTTTTTATTAAGTCAGTGCGTCTCACATCTTAGGCTGCATCACCACTTACCACCAGGTGGGATAGTATGGCCTAGAATAGTAAAAAATGACTTCTTTATAACGACTTGCGAACGACGAAGCATGGCGATTAAGGGCATAATAATGTGCTTACCATTGGTAGGTTATGCCCTACGCCTATATAAGGTCCATTGCTGAATATAGGCCTCCCCATAGATTCTCATGGGGAGATATTTACCGTAGTAACCGCGCTTGGTTGGTGAGCTGGCAGGTTTAGTATTATAGAGACTCCTGAGCCCTTGCATCTACTCCATACCTTTACCCTTAAGCTTCCTCTTACGGCTAGTAGTGAAGGACCACATCTCAGATCCATAGGTCATCACTGGCAACACGCACTGGTTGTACAATCTTGTTTTAGTTTTGAGGTATACCTGAAGAGATGTGTCGTACTCTCCCAAACGCTGCCCAGCCGATTTGAATCTTTCTCGAATGACCTCTCAGTCTAAGTTGAACTTACCTAGTCAGACTATTTGTCCCAGGTAAACATATTCGTCAACAACTTCGAACTTATTGCTGCCAACTACCGGCGTAGGTGTGACATGGACGTTACACATATTTATTTTGTACATGTTCGTCTTAAGACCTGTCCGTTGGGAGACATTATTGAGGTTATTGAGCATAGTGCTTAAGTCCTCCAGCGCTAAGATACGACCTGGTAAGACTTGCAGGAAGTCGGTGGATGCTTGTGGTTCAGGACCATGCTTTGTGGCATTCCTTGGGGGAGGCCTACGTTCAGCAGTGGACTTGTGAAGGGTTGTAATGATGATAATAATTAAGGGAGACGCTGTTTGCCTGTTACTCATCTCCTGGTTTGGTTTCCCTCTGTGTCCTCTAACGACACCCACGGGATGATATATGGTAGTGAATATTCTTACCTACCCCACCACTACACGTTTTCTCATTTGAAATTATTAAGATTTTTAAATTATTTCATTTATATCGCCTATAATTGTATTTAAATTAAATTATGACATCTACATAGGCATTACCAGTTTAAATTACCGTGTTTTGGCGGTGCAAAAATATCCACTACCCTTCCCTTTCCTTGGGTGCCGTTTGATGCGACAGAGGGGAACATATCAGATGGGCAACAGTCCTAAAGTAAAACTAACGAGTGGAAGTGGCCGAGCCGATAACTTGAGGTCATTGACCTTTGCATTGCTGTTTAGGCAGCCATGGAGGTTGCAGGCGCAGGCGATGACGTAATGAGTGCTTTCAACTTTTTCTGTCACCAGGGTGGAGCCACTTTCGAATGAGGTAAATTGATAAACAGATTGCATGTAGAAGAAATTAAATTGTTAAGAAGACAAAGGTTAACTAATGTTTCCTTCAGAAATATTAGTTATATTTTATATTATTACTAGCTTACCAGGCAGAACTTGTTCTGCCCTTTGCGACTACACTTTGTCATGCCCTATTAAAAAATCTTTATTTTCGTAAAAAAAATTGTGGGTTACTCATGGGCAAAAAAAACTATCCTATCCCTCAAGTTGGGCCAAACTGTACACGCTGTGCAAATTTGATTAAAATCGGTTGAGTAGTTTAGGAGTCCATCGCGGACAAACAACGTGACACGTAATTTATATATATATTAAGAAGAATACATTTAATAAACATAACGATCAACATTCCTAAAAGTAAAAGAATTAAAGGGTTAAAAAATATGCAAAAAACTTCAGAGCAAGCAACGAGGCATTGTTTTATGTACAAAACTTGTTTAACTTCACCTCAGTCCTTACAACCCGCAAAACAACATCTGGTGTGCGGAAAATTATAAATCCTCATTATGCGAAGAGAATTAAAAAATAAAATACTTTATAATCTTTTTAACAATTTTATTTTACATCATAGTTTTTATAACACGATATAAGCATTTCCTATAAGAGCATGCACTGATACAATTGTATGCACCTAGCAGCAACGTACCAACTAACCTCGCAGACAAACATAGGAAACTCTAACGTTATGTACTAGGAAATATTATTCCAGGACAATTTCCACAAGTGACCAGTGATATTGCAAGTGTCGTAATTTATCGATATTATCACAAATGGAAATATCGACGATTTTATCACTTATTTTAGTAGTACAATATCATATATAACATTAGAAGTGTGTATGTTGTTACATATAATAACATATATTACGTATATCTACATATTAAGTATTCAAGATAATATATTAATGGGTCCGTATTTCACCGATCATTTTTTAACTTACTTAAGTGAAGAAATACTTAAATATATAATAATATAATATCAAATTTCATGAGGTTGCAATAAATGATACCAAAATTATGTGAATAATACAATTTTTATTTACATCTCATTATAATGCCTTTAATAAATAAAACCTAGTCACAAAAAGCAAATTTTCAGTTTATTTTTTCAACTTATTGTGATGTTGATTACAGGACATTCGGCCACAAGGAAAACATTACAACACAAAAATTTAAAATACATATAGAAATGTTGCCGTGCCGAAACTTTTACACTTTCATCCCAAAGCCAAACCTTTAGTATATAATCTAAGGCGCCAAATTAAAAAAAAAACTTGTGCATGTTGTTACGGTTGCCAACATCATGCGCGAAATTGTAATGTTCCAAATCGAATTTATTATTATTTTAATAAAATAACGGTTACAAAATACATTTACTAACTAAAGGTAGCATTTCTAAAGACGAATATTTCTCCTATTTTTTTGTAAAACTGTATAAAATATATAAGATTTAATAAATATCAGCATCAATAAGATAGACAATGACTCCATACGGACCCGGCTCTAATACTCTAAAGGAATGATAAAAATAATAATATATTATCAACTCTTTTCTTTAATATACAGTATCATGTACTGCAACTTTGATTACAAATTCGTAAATAAAAATAAAATTTATTATCTTCACATAGATTCATTTGTAAAAAGAAAAAATATTTTTTTAAATTATATGATTTATCATTAACTTCAATATTTATGAATAAAGATGGAAACATTTAAAACATCCATACTCTTGGTCAAAAGTACACGTCAACCTTTCTAACCAGATAGTATGTATACGTCCCAAACTCCAAGGTACTGTTAGGACATTTAATCCCATGTATGTCAGTATAGGCCACAGACTCGATTGTTAAGGTTATATAAAGGACAATGTAAAACACTTTTAAAAGATGTTGAATCTCATAGCCTAGGAATATTAATTTATCTATGGTCTGTGATATATATGTGCGTATATATATATATATATATAGTAATGTTTTTCAGACCAGACAGTACCAGGAAGCTAAAGGGACATTAAATCAAGACCGAGGCTGCTTTACGTATAAGAAAAAAACATATATAACATGACGGTGATACAACATAGATGTACATAGACTAACAAAATGTATCCAGAATGATCGATAGATGAATTACAAAATCTAAGTTATCTTGTTTCAAAGTATACAGTGGTGATTTCAAATCTTTTAAAAACTAACGAATATCAGTTAATAATAACTAATTTTGGTTACAATCTCTTTGAAAACATTTTAGAAACCTTTAACAGAATTTTATACACTACACACATCATCGTAAAGACAAAAATCGCTTGAACTTTCGACTACTTCAGCATAAATTTGAATTCTGACATTGGCGAAAATAGCTGTCATACAATGCTTTTTTTGGTGCCTCTTAAAACGAAATAATTTATTACTAAAAAAATAACCTCCAAATAATCTATAAAAGGTCATACCCTATTATAGTATGAATTCTAATAACATTTTTTCTCAAGGAACAAAATTTGTAGCACAAATGGTTTATAATGTATGCTTTACGAACTATATTTAAAGTTATATTTGAGTTCTTTCTTTAGCACTTCATGTTTAGCAGAATTTAGGCAATTTGGTCATGCACACTTCAAAATTATCTTACTATGTTCAATTATTTTCCCATATTACAAATGTCAGAAAGTTCATATTCATCAAGCTGTAGTGACTTGCTACCGTAAACATTTTCCAAAATACCACATTTCCGTACAATGCCCTAGGAATATTTTTGTGCAAAAACTAATTGAAAAGTAGGAATTCCACCAAAATCATTTTATTCTGAGATTCTCGAGGTTCCAGGTGATAGACACTCAACAATAAGACATATACATATAATATGTTTAAGCTAAAGATATGGCCCAGCATACAATAGCATATTGTGAGCAATTATATAGAAGTTATATATTATTACTAAACGGTGTTATGGACAAAAAATAAACTCCTAAAATCTCCAAGTAAATCCTGAATTGTTTAAAAAATTATATACAGTTTTTTTAACATTATGTAACACGCCGTTTCATCTATTTTTCTATCGAAATCGGGAATTGTGAGCGGCATCCTAAAACAAGGAAATAATTATATATAGAATAGACAAGAAAACAATTAATAAATATATACAAGAAATATACTCATTAGACATATTACATTCAGATTAGAGTCAAAAATTAGTGAATTTTAAATTATACACAAAAAGTGTATATATTTTTTTTTCCTTTTTTTTATATAAAAATGTTACGCCCCACTCTAGGATTTTCGCCTGTACCGCGGAGGCAGTTAACAAACATAAATTTCACAAGGAAAACATCCAGACCTGGAACAGCTATTTGTAGATCATACAAATCAAATTATATTGAAGTGTTTGTTTGTAATATCAAAATAACAGCTTTTTACTAAACTCATATGAAAGTATATAATGTCCTCCAGACCGAATTTCGGCCACGGCGGCCTGCCTCAACAAAGGCTAGCCAACGGCGCAGGACAGGATTATAGTGCCCAAGTGTATGCGCAAGCACAGGTGCACTCTCTATTCCTTCACTCTCATAACCCGATGGGACGGTAAACCGACACGACCAGAGAGAGATCAGACGCAAGTCCAACGGCTTTACGTGCTTTCCGAGGCACGAGGGTGAGACACCGCCAACTTCCTGACTGCGGGCAGCTCTACTGAGAATTTCTTGATAGAAAAACTCAATAATTGATTTTTGGCCCGACCCGGGATTTGAACCCAGGACCTCATTATCAGCAATCGCACTACTACAACCGCTAGACCAACGAGGCAGTCAGAGGGAAAGTATATACAATACATATAACAAAACACAAATTTTAAAAGTTTTGTCTGTCTGTATGTTTGCTTGTGCTAGCTAATCTCCGAAACGGCTGGACCGATTTTGACGGGACTTTCACTGGCAGATAGCTGATGTTATAAGGAATAACTTAGACTACATTTAATTTAGAAAAAGAATTACGGTTCCGCGCAAAAAAAATTAAAACAATTCCACGCGGATGAAGTCACGGGGAACAGCTAGTTACATATAATATAAATACTTGTTCCGTGCGGGATTCGAACCCGCGGCCCTCAGCGCCGCAACTCATTGCTAAGCCACTGCGCCAAGGAGCTGTCAATTTTTTTAAAGAATATTAACAATGTTATAATCATTACTAATATTCCCCTTAACCACTCGTGGTAAGCTTAAATTGCTTGTGTTACGAGTGGTTCGCGCCAGTAGTCGAATGGCGGATTCGAACCCACGACCTTTTTGAGTTCGCCGTCCGCATACTACCATTAGGTTACTGTCGCCTTATATATAGACGTGTCACTCTTTTTTCGAACTTAGTTGACGCTGCCGTGTGGCTAGATATTCAAAATGAATACTTACAGAGTGCAGCCGTGGCGCCTAACATCGCGTTTCGTAGAGGCCGGAGCGTCCGATGTAGCGCACCCATTTAATCACATCGTGGTCAGAGTAGTTCAGCTTTGGTTCAAACACCTTCAAATACCGGACCTACAAACACACAATCGTACGTCAATAAACATTTAAAACAATGCTGCCAGTATGATATGACTGCTATACCGCGAGTTCTGCCTCCAACCCTAACTTAAGCCAAATATTAGGATAAAAACAACATAAAATAGATTTTTTTAATTCAATATAGACTGCCCAATAAACACTATCACGTTTCTTTGTTTGTAGATAACACATTTTTTTAATGTTCAGTAAGATCTTCTGAAGAACCAGCAAAAATGCCAGCGGGACTTTTTGCAATGAAATACAAGCATACACAAATTGCTCTTGCAAAAAATTTTTGTTGAAATACAAATGATAGTCACCTTGTAATACGTTTTACGAGCCGTGGTACCTAGTTCTTCAAGAAAAGCTAATAGCAGCATAATGATGTGTTTTGTAATGGTAACAAAACATCACATTCACATTACGTGAAATATCGGTAATTTCATTACTATTAATTTTTGATTTTCTGTTGATGTTAACAATTGTATAAAGTTAACTTGACTAAGCTAGCAAAACAAAAAAGTAATTGCATCACTTCTTACACAACTGATATAAATAAATAAAAGCATATAAACAAAAGGACCCAACCAATATCTGGTTGGGTCCAGGTGGAATCTTTAGTTGGAAAAGTAGCTCTTCAATCAAAGCATTATAATCAACCGTGGTATACCTTAAAGCCAGAGGGTGCAAATGGCACTTCAAAGCCCATCGAGATCGGCGGCCGCGTCCATTTCTTCTTCGTGTCGGTCTCCAGCAGTTCAATCTCAGCCGACAGCTGTGTCTCTTTCATGCCCGCCATGCGCTTGATCCTTAAAAAAAGATATTTGTTAATTCATTTTAGTCAGATAACTTACATACTTGAGCTGTGATAACTCGAGGTTAAGAGATTGACATTAAATGCGGGCAATGTATGTTCAATCCTCACCAGCACCGATGAAATTGTTAATTGCAATTTTTAAAGCTGACTTATCACATGCTCAGCTATGAAGAGGCTGTGAAGGAAATCTGCAAGGGTAAATAAAATAAAAGTTACCTACGCGCATGGGTCGGCGAGACAACCACCGACTCCGTAGCCTTATTAAAAATAAGAGGAAACTTTTGCTCAAGCAGGCGAACATATTTATACACATACAATTTTGTTTTATATGATCGGGTGACAAACGAGCACACATTCCACCTGACGGTAAGTGGTTGCTGTGGCCCATACACATCTACATCTATCCTCGATTACGAATCAAAATGCAGATGCGTTGTCACCCGTGAGGACTAAGATGGAAAGCCTCGTTTCCAGTAAACAGGGTCTCCAGTTCTCTACACTCACCATACGAAACACAGCAGCATTAAGCTACTATTTTACTGTGGTATTCTGTGAGAGCGTGGTCCTTCCCCGGTCGAGCCGACCCATTCGTGCTACAACTATACCACTAATATAACTGCAGCATGGCTCTACCACATATAAAAATAATTTAATGTAAAGAATTTTATAAAATTATGTGCGAATTGGAACATGACTAATTATACTCAAATAAAATTAACTTATAATAAAACTTAAACGACGCTTTCAAAGAACTAAAAACAATAAAAATATTTCGCATTCTGGTAGGACATAGTATAAAAAGAATTAAAGCGGCAATCATAGAATGTGCAATATTTATACTGGTCTCCGGTTCTCTACACTCATCACACGAAACAGCGTTGAGCTGCTATTTTACGTTGATATTCTGTGAGTGTGGTTCTCTCCCGGTCGGGTCGATCCATTCGTGCTACAACTATACTACTAATATGGCTGCAGCATGGCTCTACCACGTATAAACATACTCTTTTTCGTTGTTTGAACTCAGCATTACTTTTTAATAAAAGTTATTTTCTCAGCAATATGTTATATATATATATATATATATATAATCTCAGTAATAACTTTTTACTAAAAGTTATTTTTTTACACTTTTAGTGAAGTATCACAATATCATTGTTTAAGTAATTACATTAAAAAGTTCATCTTCTATTTCGCCACCTTTATAGAATCTTATACACAAATACCTAATAAGTCTCATGCTGACTCTATCACGTTGAATTATTATTCAAAGTGATAGAGTCACCACGAGACTTATAAATATCTTAAAATTGAGTAACATACGAGTATTTGACCATTAGTGAAGTAGAATTTTTATTTAAAATTTACATGGAATTCTATTTTTACCCACCATGTGTGATCACCCCTGGTGACTAAAATGGTTGATTTGCAATTTATAATGACTAGCAATTTTGACTGACAGAAACAGAACCTTTTTTATTCAATATAGACTATAAATAATACTTATTAAAAGTAACTTTTTTTTTAATTTACCACTGGTTCGGAAATAAAACCTCTGCCCTGGGACAATCCAGCAAGAAACCCAGCGGGACTTGTAAAGAAAAAATAACTGCTTACAATCAATCATGTATGTTACACAATTAACACAAAAAAAATTAGTAGCTTGGTAGCAATCACCTTTTCCAGGGGTTTTTATCATCCATAAATTCCTTACTGTTATAATTTTTTTTATAGGATAGGATGACAAACGAGCACACAGTCCACCTGATGGTAAGTGGTTGTTGTAGCCCATAGACATCTACATCTATCCTCGATTACGAATCAAAATGCAGATGCGCTGTCACCCGTGATGACTAAGATGAAATGCCTCGTTTCCAGTAAAAAGTCTCCGGTTCTCTACACTCACCATACGAAACACAGCAGCATTAAGCTACTATTTGATGCTGGTATTCTGTAAGAGCGTGGTCCTTCCTCTGTGGAGCCGACCCATTCGTGCTACAACTTTACTACTAATATAACTGCAGCATGGCTCTACCACGTAAAAATAATAACCCCTTTTATACAAACTTAGTTTAATAAAGTTGTTGAACTTAGTGCAGGTGTAGGAACATGTTGCAAGACATGATTGTATACTTGCTGTGTGCATGTGAATACATGAATTTCTCATATGATCGGCATATTTACACATTACAAAACAAATAAGAAACTCACTTCCAAACGATTGCATTCTCAGAGGCCTTGTATTTAGCTTTGCCCTTGAGGCAGATGAGCTGCACTCCGCTAGTATTGAGCGGCGTGGGGATTTTCACTTCAATCTTCTGTCCCAGCAAGGACGGCTTAAAGTTGCTCTTGAGCACAACTTTCACCTCCATCTTAGTTCGGCCGACCTCCCGCACCAGTGGGATCACGCGGAAAGGCAGCGATATATCCTTGGTGGTACGGTATCTGAAATATTACAAGGAATGAATTTTAAAGAAATCTGTTCATTACGTACGTAAGAATTTTAAATAAAAAATGTGTGCAGTTCGAGCTGTACCCAGTAGAGATGAAACCTTCAGAAAATTACACAAGAGTATATAGAGGCTACTAAGCACCGCACAAAGAGGAAACCGAAATAAATAAACCAGAGTATATAGAGACTACAAAACACCAATAGGAAACACTATATACTGTATTTTTTTATAGTATAATGGTGGCAAACAAGCACTCAGTCCACCTGGTAAGTGGTATGTGGTTGCTTGTGACCCATAGACATCTACATCTATCGTCGATAAGGAATCAACATGCAGATGCGTTGTCACCTGTGAGGACTAAGATGGAATACCTCGTTTCCAGTAAAAAGAGTCTCCGGTTCTCTACACTCACCAAACGAAACCCAGCAGCATTAAGCTGCTATTTGATGCTGGTATTCTGTGAGAGCGTGGTCCTTCCCCGGCCGAGCAGACCAATTCGTGCTATAACTATACCAGTTATATAGCTGCTCCACCACGTTCTATCGCAGACTAAATCCAATAGATGTAAACATTTGTCGTTTTTTGATGTCACTTTTTCGTTTCATCGGATTTCAAATTAAAACGATTCTAAAAGTTTTCCTGTCATAAGAGATTCCTGTCATTATAAAAAAAGTGTTAAAAAGTTACCATGTAGTGGCGGTGTATGAATGTCTACTGCCGCATAACATACCGTGAGATTCGTAAGAGGCGACAGAGGGAAACAAAAGCATATGTAGCACCATCTTCATAATAACAACTTGCAAATGAAAAAACTGCGTTCGCAAACCTGCCAGCCAGGCGTGGCAATTATGGCAAGTATCCCATTTATGAGGGAGGCCGGAGTTCAGCAGTGAACTTTGATTGGCTGTAATTATGAATGAGTGATAAATGCATCTCAGTTAGGAATGCCAGATCCGAAGACCATAACTGCGCAAAATTTCAAAATGTTCAAGTTTAAAATTTTACAAATAAAAATGTAGAATAAAGTTTTTTTTTTTAAATGAATAGGCTACAAAAAGACTGAACATTATTGACACAAATTTCTTAAATCATCTTCTTAATGACTAATTTAAGTACGTACACTTAATTTTTAGGTTGCCATATGTACGAGGGGTGATCCAAAAGTAATGATAATGGAAATAAATCACGGTAATTAAAGTTAAAATAATAATTTATTTTTCTACATAGTCTCCTAACAAATCAATACATTTAGTCCATCTTTTTTTCTATACCCTGGATTCTCTTTGAAAAAAATTCTTTGTCTTGACCCCCCCAAAACGCTTCAACAGCGGCCATTACTTCGCTATCGTCTTCGAATTTCTTGCCTCGGAGGCGTTCCTTGAGCCGAAGAAAGAGGTAGAAGTCACTAGGAGCTAGATCTGGCGAATAGGGAGGGTGTTCGAGCAGTTCGAATCCCGTTTCTTGAATGGCAGCCATCGCAACTGCGCTTTGTGAGCCGGTGCGTTGTCTTGGTGAAACAGCACTCCAGCCCGCAGTTTGCCGCGTCTTTTTTCCTTAATGGCCTCCCGTAATCTTCTTATTTGGTCTGCGTAGTAAGAGCCCGTAATAGTGGCTCCCTTTTCCAAATATTCTATCATAATTATGCCTTGAGCGTCCCAAAAAATAGATGCCATAACCTTTCCCGCCGAACTTGAAACTTTGAATTTCTTTGGCGACGGTGAGGGGGCTCGCTTCCAAGTCATCGATTGTCGTTTCGTTTCAGGATCAAAATGGTGGATCCAGGTCTCGTCCATAGTCACAAAACGGAACAAAAAATTTTCTTGATCTGCTTGGAACTTTTCGAGATTGACCCTCGAAACTCGATTTTTCTTTTGGTCGTCGGTTAACATTCTGGGTACCCAACGCGCAGAGACCTTTTTCATATGCAACTCGTTCGCAAGGATTCTTTGAACGCTGAATATAAGATCCCTGTGACCTCAGCTACACGCCTGATGGTCACTCTTCGATCTGTCAACACAACGTCTTCGACTTTTTTCACGTTGTCTTCAGTGAGGGACGTGGATGGGCGTCCTTCGCGATGTTCATCTTCAGTGGATGTTCTGCCCAGTTTAAACTCCTTGGCCCAGCGTGCAACTGTAGAATATGGAGGAGCAGAGTCCCCCAACGTTTCCACAAAGTCACTGTGTATGTCTTTTGAAGACATTTCTTTCAAACAGAGGTACTTGATGACAGCTCTAAATTCGTTTTTGTCCATGTTGATGTTATCTCTTTGACAGTTCGTATTCAAATGAATTATATCATATGTATTTAATTTTAGTTGATATTATATTAGTATGATGTTGTTATCGGGCGTCGCGTCGGCGTGTCTTTGCGACACGAAGGCCTCCTCCAGCTTGCTCCATTCTGCTCTTGTTTCAGTTGTTCTGTGCCATGTTGGACCCGCATGCTTTTTTACGTCATCAGACCAACGTTTTCTTTGTCTTCCTCGTTTTCTTTTTTGTTTGGTATCTAGGGGTCCATTCTGTTATATCTTTCGTCCATTTATTTCTATTCTCTCTCATCATGTGGCCTACCTTGAGTTTTCTAATTTTAACTATTATATCTTCAATTTTGGTAATTTGTCTTAGATCTACAGCTCTCTTTCTGTCTCTTTTTGTGTAACCCAGTATACTCCTCTCCATGGCTCTTTGGCATGTAATCAGTTTTTGGTTTTGTTTTTGTGTGTTTGCCCAGGTCTGGCACCCATAGGTAAGGATTGGTAATATGCATGTATTGTATACTTTCCTTTTCATTGCAATATTATATTGATTGCCTTTTAGCACTTCTTTGAGGGACCAAAATCTCTTCCAGGCATTGGCTACCCGTCTTTCAATCTCTGAATCCATTTGGTTGTTGAAGGCGATAAGTTGGCCTAAATATACATAGGAATTTACATAATCTATTTTCTCCTCATCTACTGAGATACTTATTTGGGATCTGTTTGTTATTATCTTTGTCTTTGTTTTGTTTATTGTTAGTCCCACCTTTTTACTTTCACATGATAAATCTTGGAGCATGTTTTTAAGGCTTTCCGAGTTATCTGTTATAAGTATTATGTCATCTGCAAATCTTAAATGATTTAAATGTGTTCCATTTATGTTAATCCCTATGTTGTCCCATTCCATTTTCCTGATGACTTCCTCTAGTACGGATGAAAAAAGTTTTGGTGAGAGTGGGTCTCCCTGCCTCGTGCCTCGATAATCGTATTCTTGACATTTTTCAATGAGCTGTTTTACCACATGTATGTGGTCAATTGTTGCAAAGCCCGATCGGAATCCAGCCTGTTCTCTTGATTGTTGTTCTTCAAGTTTTTTGCTAATGCGCTTCAGTATTATTTTTGAGAACACCTTGTATATGTTGGACATGAGACTTATTGGGCGATAGTTTCCTATGTCTGATCTATCTCCTTTCTTAAAGATGAGTATTATAGTGCTTATTGTCCACTGTGAAGGTATGGATTCTGTGTTTAGGATAAGATTAAACAAGTTAGTTAGTTTTTTTTGTTGTTTCTGGCAATGTAGCTTTCATCATCTCATTGGTTATGTGATCAGGTCCAGGAGCTTTATCGTTTTTCTGTGTTTCTATCGCATGCTGAACTTCCCTTTCAAGAATCGGAGGGATTTCTTCTGTTTTGTCTTCAAGGTTTATGTTTAATTTTAAGGTATTTTCGGTAGAGTATAATTTCCGATAATAGTCTGTCGCTATCTTTAAAATTGGCTGTCTTCTTGTTTCGTCCTTATTATTTTTGCTTTTCATTTTCGGGACCCATAGCGTTGTTTCTTTTAATTCTTTAAGTGCTTTATTGATACCTCCTGTTTTTGTAATGTGTTTTTGGATACATTTCATTCTTTTATTCGACCTATCTTGTTTTATGTTGCGACTTATCTCCTTACTTAGTTCAGTAATTTCATGTAATGTTGCTTTATTTCTTCTATTTTTAAGCAGTTCTTTCCGTTTTTGAATGAGATCTATTGTTTTCGAGCTCAGTGTATTTTTGTTTTTTACTAAATTGTTCTTCTTTCTATAAATATCGTTTGTTTCTATGTTGTAAATTTCTTGTGTTTTGTCTATTTCTCCGGTTGTTACTTTGCTTTGAGACGTTGTATCAGTCTTGCAGGTATTTTCACTCTGGTTAAAGTGTTTTCGTTGTTTCTTTTGTTGTTTGTGAAATAGTACTGCTCTGACCATACGATGGTTGCTATTGAAATTGAAATTATTTATTACACTAACATCTCGGAAAAACTTGGGTTGATTACTAGTTATAAAGTCAATTTCATTTCGGTAATTTCCATCTGGCGATATCCAAGTCCACTTCTTGGTTTTTCTTTTCTTGAAAACGCTATTTAGTATGGTTAAGTTATTCTCCAGGGCCAAATTTACAATTCTCTTGCCGTTCTTGCTTCTTTTTCCTATGCCATAATTTCCTATTACTGTCTCTTCACCATGTTTTTGTTTACCTATTTTCCCATTAAAGTCTCCCATGACGATAACGTTTTTATGGGCAGTTTCTAGAGTAGTTGTAAGTTAGTTGTAGAAATCATCTTTTATTTTTTCGTCTGCTGCTTCTGTTGGCGCGTATATCTGTACTATAGTCCACTTGTTTTTATAGCCTTGTAGCTGTATATTTAGTAAAGCTATTCTTTCGGATATGCCTTTGAACTCTATGATTTGTTTCTTTAGATGTTTTTTCACCATAAATCCCACTCCATACTGACCCTTGGTTTCACCGATATAGTACAGAATGTAGTCGTCATACTCTTCAATGCAGTTTCCTATTCGTCTTACTTCACTCATACCAAGAATATCCCATTTAATATTACCCAAAGTTATCTCTAATTCGAGAAGTGTTTCTGCAGTCCTCAATGAAAGTGTGTTTAGGGTGGCTATGTGTATATTGTTATTGTTAGGTTTCTCTTTTTCTTTATCTTTAGGTGTTTCATTTGCTGAAGGGTAGTGGTCTTCTTTCTCCACGGTTACCAACCGGCTTGGGGTGCATTTTTCAATTGTTGTATGTGTACTTTTGGTATTAATTGTTCTAAGTTGATTTCGAGTACCGGTGGTCATTACAGGTTTTTTGGAATCTCTGACATTGAAGCAGATCTTCCTCTTTCAACGTAATTAAGTATTTTGGGTTTTAGGATTTCTTTTCCCTTGGCTGATGTAGAAGCTGGATTGTCTTTTAAGTCGATTTTTTTCTGGGATGCCGAGTTAGGTGAGTCATGGCCTTCTCTTTTTCTTTTTTCTCTATTTATTTCTGATGATTTCTTTACTATTATTTTGTCATGTTTTAGAAAAGCTATGTTTCCTTTCCTTCTTTCCTCTTTCACTTGGGCTTGTAATTGCTTGCGCTTTTCTAACACTTCTTTAGAATAATCTTCTTTTATATAGATACCTGGCGGCAGCTTTGACTTGTTTTTCAAAATCATGTGTTTTTTCCACAGCGTTGTGACGGAGATGACGACAGGGCGGTTTTTAACATTTTTATTCTTGCCAATTCTATATATATTGCTGATTTCCTGGCTATTTAAATGTGTGCCTGTTTCTATGGTTGTGTCCTTGATGTAGTCTACTAATTCCGCTTCTGATTTTCCATTCTCCTCAATGCCAAAGAAGACTAAGTTGTATTTTCTTTTCTCTCTTTCCATGATCATAGGTTTCTGTTCCAATGTCACTATTTTGTCTTTTAATCTAATGTTTTCTTCAGTTATTATTTTTAATTTCTCGTCTAATGCCTCCATAACATTATACGTCACCGACTCTGTTATGAGTTTGGTTTGTTGGTTCAATTTCTCATCTAGTTTTAACAACAATAATTCCATACTTTTGTCCATTTTTTGGATTATTTACTGACAACACTGGAAGGATGGTGGTTTATATTCTTGTTGCTGGCAACACTTGCTATGTCAGTGTCAAAATGACAGTTCCTACTATTTGATAATTTGTTGGTTATGTTGGTAGCACTGTTATGTCGTTCACTCTTTAATTTTTTTTGGTTATGTTGTTCACTAGCTTTTATTGCACTTTTTATTCCTAGAAAATTGTTTTATGTTTTGTTCACTTATTTATATCGTTTGTTATTGCCTTTTTTTTGTGAATTTCGTGTTATGACACTTCTATTTCACACTCTTTACACTAAAAACAGTTATTATTTTGCGGAGGACTTTGACGTGCGTGTTTACTTTGCGATCACCGGAAACGGACAGCATTCAAATGAATACGAACTGTCAAATGCCTCTATATACTCTTGGAAGACGTTTTCAAGCTACTGGACTGGAAAGGATACGGTATTAACATCAATGGCGAGTACATCACTCACCTTCGATTTGCCGACGATATAGTCCTTATGGCAAAATCGCTGGAGGACCTAAGCACTATGCTCAATGACCTCAATGGTGTCTCCCAACGGATAGGTCTTAAGATGAACATGGACAAAACAAACATTATGTTCAATGTCCATGTCACACCTATGCCGGTAGTTGTGGGGAGCACTATGCTCGAAGTTGTTGACGAGTACGTTTACCTGGGACAAATAGTCCGACTAGGTAAGTCCAACTTCGACCAAGAGGTTAATCGACGGATTCAACTCGGCTGGGCAGCATTTGGGAAATTACGACACATCTTCTAGTCAGGTATACCTCAATCTCTGAAAACTAAAGTGTACAACCAGTGCGTGTTGCCAGTGATGACTTACAGATCATAGACGTGGTCCTTCACTTCTGGCCGTATGAGGACGCTCAAGGTCGCTCAGCGAGCTATGGAGAGGGCTATGCTCGGAGTTTCTCTGCGTGATAGACTCAGAAATGAGGATATCCGCAGTAAAACCAGAGTGACCGACATAGCCCAAAAAGAAGTGGCAATGGGCCGGCCATATAGCTCGAAGAACCGATAACCGATGGGAAAGAAAGGTTCTCGAGTGGCAGCCTCGTACCGGTAGGCGTAGTGTAGGGCGACCCCCCACTAGATGGAGTGACGACCTGGTAAGACATGCAGGAAGTCGATGGATGCAGGTGGCTCAGGACCATGCTTTGTGGCATTACTTGGGGGAGGCCTATGTTCAGCAGTGGACTTGTGAAGGGCTGTAATGATGATGATGATGATTCAAATGAATGTATCTCCCGGAAATCGTGATCTATTTATATGATTTTTTTAGGCTGACGTAGGGACTATATAAGCAAGCAAAAAAATATTTTTTTTTGGATTTTTATGCGGACCTGAAGAAATCGATTATCATTACTTTTGGATCACCCCTCGTATTTGGCAATAGGCTTTACTGAATCCACCAATTTGGATCCTTTATTAGTACAGTACTCTCTCGTTAATCCGTAAATAAAAAACTCTGTAATACGCCGACACTGAAAGTCTTCGACTCGATAATCCGCCGTCTTACTTCTCTTTCATGCGTAAGACGAACAGAACTCTATACTCTGCCGCACGGTGCTAACCAACTCATCTTAAGTCCGCCCGGACTAAAGAGTGTTAGTTATACGGACAACTCATCAGACGAAGAAGTCATGTTTCATGCTGCTTCATGTTGTCAGCACTTACAAATCTGAAGATACGCTGAATAGTGTAGGTAAAATGCGCGATGAAGTTATCAAGAAGATATATGTATTTTGGTAAAAAAAAGCAAAATTAGACCCATTTTGTTCCAAATATGAAGTAATTACTTCAATAAAAGATTCATGTTTGTTGATTTATTAAATACAATATAAAAATAAATTATACATATTTTTTTTTCAATTTGTTGTTCCTATACATTATAATCCGCTGTTTTCAGTAATCCGCCGATGGTTACAATTTCATGGTGGCGGATTAGCGAGAGAGTACTATATTCAGTAGGATTAAAATTCAAACAATTTACTTCAAAGTTCAGTCTAATTGCTAACTCAGCTTTTATTAAATCTGGAGATTTAATATTAATAAAATAAAATTTAATATTGATAAAATAAAATAGCAGTAGTTTAATACTAATAGTCTGGAGATTTTGAGTTTTGTCGGGAGTCTGGAAATCATTTAAAATGTCGGGAGAATCCAGACAAATCCCGACCATCTAGAAACGCTAATCACAGTGTATAACAAAGCCAGTGTAGCATTAGAAACAAAAAATAAAACTCAGACACTATATATCTATACCCTCTACCATTGAAAAAATCATTACTGTACAAATCCATATACACATACTTATAAGACCTGAAGTCAAGTTAAAGGCTTGTAGCACGAATTAACATAAAATAGTAGCTTAATGCTGCTGTGTTTCGTATGGTGAGTGTAGAGAACCGGATACACTTTTTACTGGAAAAGAGGCATTTCATCTTACAGCTTGGCCACGGGACATTCGCCGTAGCGAAAATTAACGCGGCGCGAACGGCGAGGCGTCTAGCAAGTAAACCAAAAAAATGTATAGAAATGTATGGATCAAGCCACTCGCAGCGGCGAGTGGCGACGCGACCGGCGAAATATACCGGGTGAGTCGCGCGGGCGACTGGTGGCGCGGCGGGCGACTGAAACAAATGTATGAATCAGTACGGTGCAAGCCACGGAGTCGGGCAGCAGACGCGGCGAAAACCGGCGAATAGTCATCATCATCATTACAGCCTTTCACAAGTCCACTGCTGAACATAGGCCTCCCCCAAGCAATGCCACAAAGCACGGTCCTGAGCCACCTGCATCCATCGACTTCCTGCATGTCTTACCAGGTCGTCACTCCATCTAGTGGGGGGTCGCCCTACACTACGCCTACCGGAACGAGGCTGCCACTCGAGAACCTTTAGAGAAGGAAGAAAGGTTCTCGGCGAATAGTATAGGGAACAATATATTTTAGTTGTTTTCGCCGCGAAAAATGCCGGGCCGACAAAAACAACTTAAAATTCTATCCGCATTGGCTTTTATCTTCAATTCTGTTTGATTAACAAGAATATAATCGCAGATTTTGACACTCGTTCTAGTATTTACTCGAAATTTTTTTCTAGATACATTATGTATTGGTTGTGGAATTCTCCATCCTGATTCCTATTCAAATCATGTACTCCGAAATCTCTTCCAAATATTATGTCTTGAGTCAAAAAACAACTACTTTCTAAACAATATCGAGATAACTTTGATAAAGTCATTTCACTCTCGGCCTATCTGGTCGCGGCGGCAAACGTGACTGCCCGTGGCCCTCAAATCGTGCCGCGCAAATTGTCACCCCGCCTGCCGCTTCGCCGTTCGTGCCGCCGATCGCCGTGGCCATGCCGTTACTCCTCACTGGTAACAACGCATCTGCATTTTGATTTGTAATCGAGGATAAATGTAAATGTCTATGGGCCGCAGCAACCACTTACCGTCAGGTAGACTGTGTGCTAGTTTGTCACCCTATCCTACAAAAAAAACCCGACGTTTCGAGCAATTTAGAGCACCCATTGTCACGGGGGGACTGAAGAATCGACGCTACGGTAAGTCTGCAGTCTGTGAACACGTACAGGATCGCCCCCGTCACTACATCAGATTTGATAGGCCACAAATCCTCGCTAAAGAACACCGATTCCTTCCAAGGATGATTCGCGAGGCTATTGAAATCAAAAAACACCCTAATTTCAATAGAGAAGAGTGGGTGCTACCACCTGCTTTGGATCCTATAACTAATATAATTAAAACCCAACCCAAGTATACAACTGCAAGACTTCAAGATACTATAAGTTCACACCGCATAGATCGGAACAAAATTAATAATTTTAATCTATGGTAACCGCGATTAACTATGACATCTGGTCGTTGAACATCTCAGTCCCCCCCCCCGTGACCATGGGTGCTGTAAAGTGCTCGAAGCGTCGGATATATAAAAAGTTAAATATACGCGATGAATTCCGTAAAAACTAGCATTATTTAAATGTGTAGTGTTCGCGTAAATATAAGAAATCAACAGTAAACCTCATGAGCTCGAACTCGCCGTCCGGCGGGATGAAGGAGATCGAGTGCTCCGTCTCGAACTTGCTGAGCTTCACACACTGGTGGAACTGGCAGTCGTCGATTACGACCACCGGCTTACCGGAGCGGGCACCCTCGCTGTCCGTGTTGCCAGATATTCCACCTAGGACAATTATTTGGAATAAAATATGAACGTAGATCAGTCATTTTAATATTTGGTGGAGCCACACTGCAGTTATATAAGTATAGTTGAAGCAGAAATGGGTCAGCTCAACCGAGGTAGGACCACCACGCTCTCACAGAAAACGAGCGTAAAATAGCAGCTTAATGATGTTGAGTTTTATGAGGTGAGTCTAGAATATATCTTAACATCAGGTGGACTGTGTACTTGTTTGTCAACAATATTCTATTAAAAAAAACATGTGTACAGTTTACACGTGATAGACATCAAACCTTCAAACAAAATGAAACTTAAGTAAAAAAAATCATGGTAAATGATTTATTTAATAAGATAATTGCAAACTACAAGTGCGGCATAAAATATAAGATAACCAACTAAACTTTTGTGTAATAAATCAAAAGAAAATTTTCTTTCTTTAATATTTTATTAAATATGGCATTTAGTCCGCCATATCACAGAATAAATAATAGTACTACGTACAGAAGTTTCACTCTTTTGATGTTGACTGCTTTCCGACGTTTGATAGCCTACATAATTATTATTAATAAGATAATTTGCGCACGCAAGCTAAATAAACCTTTATCGCTGCGCGCGAGTGTCCGTATTACTTTGCATCTTTTCCTCTTTCTACATCACGGCTGTTTTTCCGTGGTTACGTGGCTGTCAAGAAGCAATAAAAAATACAGTATGTATAACATTAATAATTTATTTAATTTACAATTGTTTTACTTAAAATATAATGTTTTTTTGCCGTCTTTAAAATACCAGTTAACGGTCCCTTTCTTTTAAATTCTGTCGTCAAATTGAAAAGGATTTGGCGCATTGAAGCACTGTGGTGGAATCCGGGCACTCCAGCGTTCGATTTCTGACAGCGACAATTTGGAAGTTTATAATTTCTTTAAAACTATTTGTGTTTATTTTTATTTAAGTATACGGTTTAATAATAGGGGGGATAAATCGCTCGCGTCCGTAGGCTTTGACCACCTGTTCCTGGGCCCACCCTACACGTGTCCCCCGGGTGGTGCTAAATGAGCGACAAGCCGATAGCACAGACTCGGATCCACGCCGTGGTAGCGGCGTAAAATATACTACCCCATATTTCGCACCATGACTAACCAAATAAAGGAAATGGCCCCGAGTTCCCGGCGCCCCTTTAATGGGGCAGGGGTGCGAAGAATCTCCGGGAGGAAAACCGGCGACGAGGTTCGCCACCCGTCACGTTCTGTCTCCCGGAGAGGCGAAAAGTGGATTGCAGAGGCCCGTCTGGCTACGTTGAATGTATGTGGGGCAATGAATGATAAAATGGATGAAGTATGCGATATGATGTATGATAGAGGAATAGATGTGTTATGCGTAAATGAGACGAAAAGGAAGGGGAAGGATGTCACTACACATGGCATGTATACCGCATACTGGTCTGGTGTAGACGAGATCGAGCGGGCATGCCAGGGAGTAGGTATCATCCTTTCAAAAAGAATGGGCCAATGTGTGAAAGAGTATGAATGTGTAAGCCCAAGACTGCTATGGATACGAATGAAAGTGGGCTTAAAGAAGTAGTTCGTGTTAGGGGTCTACGCCCCAGACATGTCTAAGCCCACTTATATCCGAGAGCAGTTTTGGGAAATGGTAAGGATGGTGTTAATGAAGTGTAAGGGAAATGAAAATATTATTATGCTAGGAGATTTTAATGGAAGGGTTGGAGTGAGGAGGCTTGGTTATGAAAGGATATTGGGAACGTTTGGTGATGAAAGTATAAATGAGAATGGTGAAAGTCTCCTCACCGTATGTATGGAAAAGAATCTTTTTGTGACGAACACTTGCTTTCGCCACAAGAGGATTCATATGTATACTTGGGAAAGAGGTGACGATAGAAGCATGATAGATTTCATAATCGTGGATGAAAGATTGAGGGGCGCAGTGGTGGATACAAGGGTTTACCGGGGTTCTAACGTAGGAACGGATCATTATTTGATTTTACGCCGAATTAATGGTCTATTCAGGCGTTGGCGTCATCGGTCATCTGTGTCTACCACTGCGTTACAGCGTATTAGAACAGAAAGGTTGCAAGATGAAGGTGAGAGAAACAAGTTCAAATGTAGACTGAAAGAAAATATAAGTGGTTTGGATGAATTATGTATGAAGGAGTTAGACTTGGAGAATGTATGGCAAAGTGTAAAGAAAGGTTTAGTGCATGCAGCTACCGAAGTATGTGGTGTTAGTAAGAGAAAGAATGAAAGGAAAAATAATACGTTATGGTGGGATGATGAGATACGTATGGAAGTTGAAGCAAAGAAGAGAGCATGGCTAGATTTACTAGCAACAAAGGCTGGTAATTCTAGCGGTACGAATGATGATATTGAAAGAAAAAAGGCGGTCTTTAGACATCTTAATAAGAGAGTAAAAGAAGTAGTTGAAAGAAAAAAGCAAGAAAGAACGGATAAGAATGATAGAAGAATATCGGATAACTTCCAGGCAAATATTAAAATGTTCTGGAAACTTGTAAGAACTGCCAGGGGACATTCAAAACAGCCTATGATGAATGCTATAAGTGACGAGAATGGCTATATTCTGAATGATGAAGTTTTGAGTTTAAAGAGATGGAAGGAATATTTTGAAAGCGTGTTTATGAGTGAGGAGACAACATGTGTACTAAGTGAAGTAGAAACTCCGAAAGAAGAGGAAAGAGGCAGCGAGATAAGTAGAGATGAAATAATGAAAGCAATGAAAAGCATGAAAGCGGGTAAGGCGCCCGGATATGATAGAGTTTCACTCGAAATGCTAAGGGCTGGAGAGGAGGTGGTGGCAGGCCTGCTGCACACCTTGTTTAATTTATGCTGGGAACTGAAGCGGGTACCGGTAGACTGGTGCAAAGCCGTGATAGTCCCAGTATATAAAGGAAAAGGGTCGCAGCAGGACTGTAAAAACTACCGTGGCATCAGCCTTCTTAGAATTGTGGGAAAACTGTACGCTAAGGTACTGATTGAAAGGGTCATGAAAGAAACTGATGGAAAAATTTGGGATGTGCAAGCGGGATTTAGAAAGGGAATGGGATGTACAGATCAAGTCTTTTCCATGCGCATGATCGCGGAGAAGTTTCTGGCCAAAAACCAAAAGGTTTTTTGTGCGTTCATGGACTTGGAAAAGGCCTATGACAGAGTGGATAGGGATTTGCTATGGCAAACACTGAACTCATTTGGGTTGAGCGCTGGCTTGATACAGGCATTGGAGTCTCTTTATAGGGACTCTAGTGCTTGTGTTAGGATCAACGGGGTCTACTCGGACTGGTTTGACATCCATAAAGGTGTCAGACAGGGCTGTGTGGCTTCCCCGTGGCTGTTCAACCTATTTATGGACAGTTGTTTGCAAAATTTGAAAGTTGAAGAATGCGGATTAAGAATGGGTGAGTTAACCGTCAAATGCCTTTTGTACGCCGATGATCAAGTCATTCTTGCGTCGTCGGCGGCCGAGTTGCAAATGATGGTTACATTAATGAACGGATCATTAAAAGAAAGGGGTATGAAAGTGAACGCAAGTAAGACGAAGGTTATGGTTTTTGAAAGAGAAGAAAGTAAAACGATTTGTGAAATAAGAATAGAAGGGGAGTTGATCGAGCAAGTAGATGAGTTTGTATATTTGGGCTGCGTATTTAGCAGGGATGGGAGATATGATAAGGATATAGAACGACGAGTGAATGCGGGAAATAGAGTAAATGGGGCCTTGCACTCTATTGTGAAGAGTCAAAATGTGTCGAAAAAGGCACGTATGGCAATTCACAATGCTGTGTTGGTCCCTACTTTAACGTATGGTAGTGAAAGTTGGGTGTGGCAGAAGAAGCACGAGAGTAGAATAAACGCAGTAGAAATGCGGTCGTTAAGGAGTATGTTAGGGCTGAATCTGAATGACAGGGTAAGAAATTGTGTGATAAAAGAAGAGTGTGGTTTGCAAGATGATGCGGTGACCAGGATTAAGAAAGGAATGCTTCGGTGGTTTGGTCATGTGGAAAGAATGAATGAGGAAAGAGTGACAAAGAAAATTTATGTTGCAGAAGTGAATGGCAGAGTCGGAAAGGGACGTCCTAGGCGAAAATTTATCGACCAAATTGGCGATTTATTGGAAACGGGCCAAATTAGGAGTACCCTTAACCGACGAGCATGTATGCGTAGGTGTATGGATGTGAAGGAGGCGAGAGAGGTGTGTCAGGATCGTGCCAAATGGAAATCTGTAGTCTCTGCCTACCCCTCTGGGTGACAGGCGTGAGTGTTTATGGATATGGAGTGTTTAATAATAAAAAACAGCAACGTCCGCTTTCATCTATGACTGCTTCATCACCATTCGCCAGGCGCAATCGCAGTGAATACCATGAATTTCATGAACAACTCAATATTCAAGAACAATTTGTATTACAATATAGGTATGAATAAGAATCACTAACCTCTCCAATTTCACGCTAATCTTCAATGGTGATTAGATTCCACATTTAATTAAGTGGAAAATGGGAACAGGCAATAATATCCGCACAGAAAAATAATATAGTGATATTGCACCATATTAAAAACACATGTAAGTAGGTACTTATTTAGCTTATAATATGTATTAATATATGCTCGTTGATCTACTATTTGTGCACACTTCTATTTACGGATCTCCTTCACCAAGGCATAGAATAAATAATATATAGTACTATGTTACCAAGGTTTGCCTGGAAGAGATTACTGTTTAGCTATGAGGCCACCTAATTGTACTACCACCTAATTTATAAATTAAGGGTGGTGTGTTATTTTAATATGTTGTGTGCAATAAAGTGTATAAATTAATTAATTATTACGTTGCGAAATGGTATGTAAAATAAGTACTTTGTGATAAATTAAAATATTTTAATTACAAAAGACATGTAAGCTTCCTACTTAGATAGTGAAGTAAATTTCAAATAAGTTTTGAAGTAAAGTACTTAGGTATTCATTCTGGATTTAAATTATTACTTAATTCTTTTTTGCTATAGGTATTTATTTAAAAAAATAAAATAAATGTATCTTACATTATCCTTAGGTAACATAAAAAATGATATTATCTGAATTCTTTTGTTTGCTCATTAGGCATCCATCCACGCAACAATTATAGTAGGTTCGAAGTTTTGCCATTATAATTTTTCGGATAGATAGGTACTTAATCATATATTATTTTTAAAGCACATTAAAAATTTTTGAACTATTTTATCCTACAATTAAATATACTAAACACTAAACAAAAATTACAACAAGTGTTTAAAAAAACTATTCACGTAAACAGCGTTAAAATTCATCAATCGCCTACAACGCGCTAGCCCTGCACCCTGAGTGAATCGCGATTTTAGGTAATTATTTCACGCAGGTAGCAAGAGTGACAGAAGCCTGGTCATATGTACAACATTGTGCATGAAATTTAAATAAATAAAAATAATATGGTTAATTTTATTGATTTAATAAATTTGTTATTTTTATGTAGTATATTTTAACAGTTAAAATTTATACTAACAATCTTTAAAGCACTGCACAAAGAGGAGACCGAGATAATAGGAAACACTAAATAAATACAATGCCATCAAAAACATAACTTGTAAAAAAAACCAAGTCTCGCAACTCCAAGGGTCCTTCTGTTTTAAATTATTACGTAATTAGCTAACCTAACAACATTTTATAGTGACCATATCAATGTTAAAAATCTTGTGTTTTAAATATATAGATCAACTTGGCAATCGCATTAAGCAATCTAATTTAATAGAATATGTATTACTTGTGACATGACATACATTGTTTTCATACGATGGCCAAGTCAATTTATATTTAATTATTTAGAACTTTGATATGGTCACTATAGTACGTGCCAAATCGATTGAGAAAAACGGACAATGACCATTCGGTCGAATGACAGGGTGAGAAATTGCGTGATAAGAGATAAATGTGGTATGCAAGATGATGTTGTGACCAGGATTAAGAAAGGAATGCTTCGGTGGTTTGGTCATGTAGAAAGAATGAATGAGGAAAGAGTGACAAAGCAAATTTAGCAGAGTCGGGAAGGGACGACCTAAAAAAAAGTTTATCGAACAAATTGGCGATATTTTGAAAATGGGCCACGTTAAAAGTACCCTTAACCGAAGAGCATGTATGCGTAGATATATGGATGTAAAGGAGGCGAAAGAGGTATGTCAGGATCGTGTCAAATGGAAGTCCGTAGTCTCTGCCTACCCCTCTGGGTGACAGGCGTGAGTGTTTATGTTATGTATGTTATATAAAGATTCGAGTGATAACGACACCGAATAAGTACATACTTATTCAAAAGATAAAACTTTATTTTCAATATTACATAAGAACTTTATTTATATTCAGTGCATGCGGACCGACCCAAAAAAAATCAACGCATTTCTGGCTGCCATCGTCACATTTCTTTTAGAACGAACTGACGTAACGCGCGTTTTGAAATTTGAATTTGAAAAATCTCAATATGGTGATTATATTGTTTCTAAAATTTTTTTGTTAATATGAAACTGTTATTAAACGAATTGCTGCATTACTTACCATAAATTGAAACATAAAATACGTGTATAACACATTTTTCGCGATGTACCGTAAGATTTTATGATGTTTATTTTTTATTTAAATTTATTGTAAGTTAAGAAACCACAGACAATATTATTTAAGAAACAAAAAAAAACATATGTGCTGACCTAGAAGTGTGAATAATATCAAGATTTAAATATTGTTATCACATCTAAATTGAGATTTTGTAAGTTAGGCCTTTTGACACTCGGCTCATATCTGAGGTCATTGTCCGTTTTTCTCAATCGATTTGGCACAGACTATACAAAACGTTGTTAGGTTAGCTAATTACGTAATAACTTAAAACAGGAGGACCCTTAAGTAGGGACTAGGGACTGAATAAATTAACAGACTTTATATTACATGGATCCCACAACTTTTACGGTAGAAGAACTGAGTTGCGAGACTTGGTTTTTTTTACAAGTTATGTTTTTGATGGCATCTCATTTCTTTTTGTAGATAAGATAGTCCTACTTTTTTTTCTTTCCGGTACCTTCTACTTCTTGAATACCAACAACGTATCTATCTACACCTAATATTCATATACAAGTACACTAATTCATTCATTGCAAATGTAACTTTGTAATTCTATATATTTATATGGGATTACAAAGTTATTTATGCAGTTGGTGTATTCAGAAAACTGGACCGAAATTAAAAAATATTTTAGATTTTCCTTGATTTATACACTAAACACTAATTGCATTCTAAATTTGAAGCTTCTATGTCTGCTAGAAGTGCCTTAGAGATTTGATGATCGGTCAGTCAGTGAGTGACAAAATTAAGAAACTTTGACTATAATATAATTCTTAAACTACTGGTTCAAATTGAATGAAATTTAAAATATACCATGTTTATACAATGCCTACTAGGTTACTGAAAATTCAGGCTTCTATATATTATCTATATTATCCACTACGAAGTTATAGGGGGTAGAAAATCGCCTGAATTGCTTCGAGAAAAGTATGGTACGGACGTGCCGCTTTATTGCTCAATATTATCTGGGGGCACTACCGTGCCCCCAGATAATATGTTTTAATATTATATTTTTAACGACAGAAAAAGACAACCTCGTGACTTCGCAGTCTACACTGTGTTCTATCTCATTCTCTCACAGGCTAAATCCTATAGATGTATATGTTTTTCTTTCAAGTTTCAAATCCCAATAAGTGTATTTTTTATAGAATAAGGATGACAAACGAGCACACAGTCCACCTGATGGTAAGTGGTTGCTGTGGCCCATAGACACACCTCAATTACGAATCAAAATGCAAAATGCAAATGAAAAAAAAAACGTAAATGCGTTGTCACCCATGAGGACTAAGACGGGATGCCTCGTTTCCAGTATAAAGGGGTCTCCAGATCTCTACACTCACCATATGAAACACACCAGTATTAAGCTGCTATTTTACGCTGGTATTCTGTGAGAACGTGGTCCTTCCCTGGTCGAGCCGACCCATACGTGCTACAACCCTAATATAGCTGCAGCGTGACTCTACCACATATAAAAAATATCATATAATATAATAAATTATCACCATTAAATATAATATATTGCTGCCATTATATTCTCCTGGGTATTATTTAAAGTAACCGGATGACCGAGCTTTGCTCGGATTTTTTTTTTAAATTACATTTAGATACAAATTACATACTGATGAAACATAAATAATATTTTTTGATCTTATTGACTGATATAATAGAAAAAACTGAACTGGTTATTTGAATAAAAAATCACTTCCACGCTGACATTGGCGAATAATCAAAAACCGCCAAAAAAAAAGAAAGAAGAACTGAAAACATAATGCTTCTCTGAATACCTTCAATTTTCTTTTAAAATAGACTAATATATAAAATAAAAAGTATAATAAACAGAAAAAGAACCAAAATGTGATATTCCCTTTATGAATTATCTATGACTAACACGCGAAATAAAAAACTTTGGATGAACCTCATTTAAAAAACATAAAATACGTACCATTACCCTTACCCTTAGCCTCCATCACAATCTTGTCGTTAATACCAAATTTGCATTCTGGCATCCCAGACAGGTAGGATTTCATCACTACCTTGCCAGCTACGTGAGCAGACAGGACTTGTCCTATAATAATATTAAATTATGTTATCTTTCTTGAATTGTTACTAACTATTCATAAACTCTTAAGTTAAAAAGCAGTCTACATTAACTTGCTTGTTTAACAAGATACTCCAAAAAATTATTACTCTTATATTACCAAGTAAATAATATTGGTATACTTTACATTTTCATGCATTTTTATCTGTGTGGTATGTGGTATTTAAAAGATTGTGGTTAATATGTTCTGAATATAAAATAAAATATGAATGTTGTTATGTACTCAGCTTGGTAGCATGACAAAAGATAAACTGTCATAAATGTTAACATTTAATTAATTAACTACATTAAATTTATTTATTAACAAAGTAAACAAGTACTTCCAAATAGAATAATTATAATTCTTTGAATACGACAGTGCTGTTTACATTTTATTTCATTTAACCACCAATGCAAGAGCTGCTGCACATGGTAAATGCTGATTTACCATATGCTTTGCATTGAAGAAAAACATTGTGGGGAAACTGCATATCTAAGTAATAACATAAATATATACATTAAATGGAACTAATTTTTACATTTTATCATGGGGGTCAATTTTTGGTCCGATCTACGCAAAATCAATAAATAATTTTTTTAAAACTAATATTCTAAACCTGAAGTTAGCCGGGCTAACTGTGACATTGGGACGTCAAACACCTTCGTGCCCGTCGTGAACATGGGTGCGGTAAAGCACCTGAAACGTCGGGCATTAAAGTTAGTCGCGATAAAATCCGTAAAAATTAGTTTCATTTAATGTGTAGTGTTTGCGTAAATATAAGAAAAGAAATCATCATAAATATGTATGTTAAGTATTTTGAACATGTGAACTCCACCATCACGATTGGGGCAGCACGGCGGACACTTCCTTACCCTAAAACCCTCTAAAAAATGTGTGTAGGCACAGGCCTAGACATCTCACTGGCTGGGCATAGACCCAGCAGCGAGATGTATATAGGCTGTAACATAACATAGCCACAAATACCATCAGTTTTAGTAGTCTTAATGTAGTTCTAGTAGGTAGTCTTATTTTTTCACTTAACATAAATTAGACATGATAATACAATCTGAAGGTCTTCAAGACAAGAGTAAATAGGCTTTTGTTACACTAAGACAGTGTGATTTACCATCAAAAACTGCATTATCATTCATCACTTACCACCGGGTAGGATTGTAGTCAAACCCTCTCAGAAATGAGGGGAGGCCAGTGCCCAGCAGTGAGACGTATATAGGTTGTAACTTTATTTTTATTTTTTCTGGCTTCTAATAAGTAAAAAAAGATATTTTATTTTTATCATTTTTACCAAAACCATACCTTGAGGTGACATCAGCAAGTTGACATATTCCAACACATCAAGGAACAGCTCATTGCGTCTATATTTTATGCCTTCTCTTCGCCAACCAATTTGCCCTGTCACCTAAAAAAAAAACAAAATTCTTATATTAAACTTCAATCTACCATAATAGTGTTCATTCATTGTTTACAGCCTATCAAAAATCTAATCCTGAACATAAGCCTCCTTAATCTTAATCCTAATTTCCGCATTTTGCTAAACCGGGGGATTTTGCTAAAGTTGCATATAGCAGGGGCCATTTTTTTATTATTTTCGGTTGTTATCAGAAATATGGTGCTGCCCCTCTCTTGATTCAATTTCCCTATATCGTCCCTTACATCACCCCTGGGATGATAAGAGATACTGGATATACTTACACCTACACTATACAATGCAGCTTATTAATATAGCAAGAGAATAATGTTAATTCATACGCTGAGAATGGATGAAAGACTCAGAGGTTACCCAATACACCAATGTTTTTTTTTCTTTGCACAAAAGATAATTGCCCAAACTCATCACTCTAATGTAATATTTAACCTTAAACTAAGTATATGATTACTTACCTGTGATGTGATCTGAGCCTGTTCCTCCTTAGAAGCAGACTTTATGCCCTGTTGTGTGATGAAGGTTTTCAATACTCCTGTGTCAGAGTTTTGTGGATAACCAAAGTCTAAGATCTCTGTAATAAACAAATAAATTAGTCTTCCAGTGGTATTAGTAGTGGTATTTTAATGTAAATAAATGTAAAGAAACAAAAGTGCGAGATTTATGTATTTGGTATTGCGATAGCCAACCTATGGCAGGTTACCAAGCATGGTAATTAAGACAAAAATTTGACATAAGTTCATGTCCGATAATGGAATTGATGACAAAGATTTTAATTGTTACCTTGCCTAACAGTCCTATTACACATTTTTATTGCATTCTAAACTAAATCTTAAATTATTGCATTTGTGATCCCATGGCATCCTGTGGCAACAGTAGCCGTGTCGAGGCTCACTGAGCTTGCCGCTGCAACGGGCTTGATTCAACCTTGTTTCAATTACTTAGCAATCACATTTCTTTAACAACATGAAGTAACCTATGCGCTTCATGTGATACAGCAGTATGCCGTGGCATCCCTTGGAATACTGCAACGTGCTGCAGCATTCTGCGGTGTCTCGCGAGACTTTTCGGACTTTTTGTGTAGAAATAAAGGAATATCATGGCTTAATTCATTAAAATAAAGTCTAAAAACTTTTGTCCACAAAAAAAATTCTTTGACACGCCATGCCATACCCTCTGTGAGTGCAGGTTCATAATCCTTGTAGTATTTTATTTATTTATTTATTTAACTTCATATACACATTAGATGTATATAGGCGCACTTAATGCCCGAGGCATTATCTACCAGTCTACCTTAGAGTAGTGCAGAGATAAAAGAGATAGGTGTAATAAGAAGTATGTACAAATATATATATAAACTCATACATATATAAGCATATAAATATATACATATATAAACATTATGTAGGTATATACACATAAAATTAAATACATATATATATATACACACACACATATATATATATGAAATATAATACTAAACACGACTAACTACGAACGCTAAGTTGATTCTGCCATTTTATTGACGAGCATTTCTCGCACTTTAGATTTGAACGAAATCCGGTTTTCGGCACTCCTGATTTCGGAAGGAAGAGCGTTCCAAAGAAGAACAGATTGAACAAAGAACGATGATTGTACAAAATTTGTACTAAAAGGGGGGCAATGGAGCAAAAGGTTATTACTAGAATGGAGAACTCTACATAGAGTAAAGAGTAGTGAGTGCGCGTAGACTACGGCGCTGACGAATGGGTAACCAGTTGAGTTGAGAGCGATAAGTAGACACATGACCATACTTTCGAAGATTAAAAATGAATCGAATGCAGTTATTAAGAAGATGGTCATACTTGTTCAAGAGTTCTGCATTCAGGTCAAAATAACACACATCACCATAGTCAAAAATGGGAAAAATTAAGGTCTGCACAATAATCGTCTTGGTCCTGGACGGGAGAAAGTTCTTCAGGCGGTAGAGAGAACGCAAAATACCTGTCACTTTCTGACAAACATTTGCCACTTGAGTTTGCCAGCTCAAGATGGAGTCAATGTGCAATCCAAGGTCTTTCACGGTATTACTCAGTTCTAAAATAAAACCGTTAAAAATGATCGGTGGTAAAGCTGTGGGATCCAGTTTCTTTATCATCCGTTGGCTACCTATTATTATAGCCTGACATTTGGAGTGGTTAACTTTAAGACCAAATTTGTCAGACCAGTTCTTTATATACTCTAGGTCCCTATTAAGAGACTCAATTGCTGTAGATATACAGTCGACCTTCGCGTGTGAGTACAACTGCAAGTCATCAGAATACAAATGATACGCACACTGAAGATTTGGGGTAATGAGATTTATAAATATTGAAAATAACAACGGAGATAGAATACCGCCTTGAGGAACACCAGCATGCAAGTCACACCAACTTAATGAGGACTCGTCAATGCGAACTGACTGCTGGCGGCCTCGAATATAAGATGAGAACCACTCCAAAGCCTCAGATGAGATCATAGAAAGTGAAAGGATTGATAATAGGATGTCGTGACTGATTAAAAAGCGTTAGAGAAGTCAACCAAAACCAGTACTGTGACTTTAGTTTCCTCCATGCCTGCCCCAATGTCACCAGTGACTGAGGAGTGCGGAAACAGTGCTATGACCTGGCCTGAAACCAGACTGTAATGAGCTTAACAGGTTATTCGAGAGAAAAGAAGAAGATAAAATGTGATAGCTGTTTGTGTACACAAGCCTCTAGCACCTTTGATAAAAAGGGAAGAATGGATATAGGTCGGAAGTGATTAGGTAAAGAAGGATTAGAAATTTTTGGGAGAGGTATAATGTAAGCTTTACGCCACAGCGACGGAAAAACTCCAGAATCCAGAAAGAAGTTAATTATATGGGAAATAGCAGGGGGGAGATGGTCTATAATATTAATAATCATACGGCGACTGATATTGTCACAACCAATAGCATTAGACTTAATGGAGAGTATAACCTTCCTGATCTCATTCGTAGCTATTGGAGAGAAGCGGAAAGGAGCGATATTAGGATGAGGTAAACCCATTAACTGATTAACAGTTTGACACTTGGTTTGGTGATCCAGAGGTGTATGTGAAGAGAAGTGTTGATTGATATCAACCAAACCAATTGTCCTCTGAAACTCAGAATGGGACTTCTTACCAATACCCATGGTTCCAAGGAACTTCTAGATATCTGCGGGGGAAGGGGAAATGATGTTGTTAAGAATATATCGGCGTTTTGCGTTGCGTATCATCTGGTTACACCGATTTCTTGCAGTTTTAAAAATGGACCAATTTTCCTCACACCGCTTTTTTCTATATTTCTGAAAGGCTCGGTCTCTACGCCTCATCACAACGCGGATCTCTGTTGTCATCCAAGGTGCTGGCAGCCGCTTTAGCTTTACTTTTTTAATAGGAGCATACATATTATATAGATTAATTAATATGTTATTAAATGCGCTAACTTTTTCGTCTACCGTGGGAGCGGCTGTCACTGTGTCCCAGTTAATTTTAGAAGCATCCTGACACAACTTCTCTACATCCATACGGCCAAACCTACGCAAGTGCAGGATTTTAGGTGAGGGCTTAGGAGGTTTCAGGATATAGGAAAGGAAAATAAGATCAGGATGGGAGAAACCAGACGCATAATGTTGACCATGAGTAGAGCCACGTGTCCTCCCCGTCCGCACTGTGGTGAGAGGCTTGTAGAGGGATAGAACATGAAAGCCAACAGACTCGATTATTTGAAGGAACTTAAAGGAACGGGATGAGTGCGAAGCCAGCCACCAGCCAGAGATTTGTATTAAAATCACCCATGATGATGTGATGTGACTATTCTGACCCTAAAGATTCCAGAGTCGTTTCGAGACTGGAGAAGTAATCAACAGAAGGGGGACAATATACAACACCAAGAACGGTTTTAGCTCCCTTCACACATACTTCAAGAAAAAGAAATTCAGCAGATGCGGAGTAAAAGGGCGAGGAGGAAGCTAGAAGTTTATAAGATAAGTCACTGCGGAGGTATATTATAGCAACAGAGAGGGGGTGGCCCTCTCTTATCATATTAGACATTACTTATGACTTAGACATATTTTATTAAAGGATTAAATATTAAGAGTTTAAATTTCTATTTACAGATTTCAGTTACTTATTATGGAATTCCACTATTTAATAAATTATCTTGATTGCAGCATTCAAGTACCAAGAAGTACACTGCTTGACATAGACCTCCCCCAAAGAGTCACAAAGTACAGAACCAAGCGACCTGCACTCATCAACTATCTGCAAACCTCATCAATCATACTATCTAGTTGGGGGTTGCCCTACACTACGCATGACAGTATGAGGCTACCATTCAAATACATTCCTTCCTCATAAGGATAAGTTTTTCAAGCTTTATGGCTCTGCCTATTGGTTTATATCAATTATGTACCAAGGTTCTACATTATATACAGATAAAGAATGGGTTAGAAATGGCGGATCACTGTGCCCCATACTATTAACATGCGCAGTACCAATAGTCAAAACCCGCTAATAATGGTATACCATTATAAGGTTATATTGTTCAGTTAATTGGATTTTTTTTAATGTTCCAGGAGTGATCTAAATTGAAATCAGTTCAGCCACTCCGAAGATTAGCTCGGACAGACAAACAGACAAACTTAAAAAATGGTTATTCAATAAAAAAATTTTATATAGGAGAGGGGGGCAAACGAGCATATGGCTCACCTGATGGTAAATGAATTACCGTCACCCATGAACACCTGCAACACCAGGGGGATTGCAGATGCATTGCCATCCTTTTTAAAAGGAATAGGCTCTTTTCTTGAAGGTCCCTAAGTCGTATTGATATGGAAAAATCTCTGGTGGTAGTTGATTCCACAAGGAATCATATCTCAATGGCATGTTTTTTTATAAAATATTAACAAACAAAATCAACAACAATTATGAATAAAACTTTCAGATTGCCTCTAGTTACAAATTAGCAATACCGGACTGAATTTACGGTACTTTATTATCATTGATTTCAACGACAAGTTTGAATGAAGATATAGGACATATGAACAATACATATTGTAACATATTTTTTTAGTCTATCTTTACCGGCAGGTATGAGTATAAATAGCGACAGTGATAGAGCTAGAGGTAAATAAAGACGACGCCATTTTCAATCTCATTCTTTAACCATACATATCATTACTGAGTAAAGAAAAAGTAGTAGGACAGTAGTAGTGCAGTAACTTTACAACTCCTGGAAGACATGAGACAAGGAAAGTGTGAAAAATTCTTATCACGACCACATGTCACTCATTTAAAAAAAAAATCTTACCATCTAGCAGCTCATATATGAGCACAAAGTTATTCTTAATGTTTTCCTCGGAGACCTTGCCAAAGTATGATTGCATCACATCAATGATCTTTAACAGGAATTCAAACACCATAGCAGCATTTACATTTTGCTTGGTCACTGCTGCCAGCCAGATGTTGGCACGCTGTTGGATTTAAAAAAATTAAATAAGAATTAGTACAACGGTATCTGTTTTTAGCTTTTCTTATAGAATAAGCATGACAAACAAGCACACAGTCCACCTAATGGTAAGAGGATGCTGTGGCCCATAGACATCTACGTTTATTGTCAATTAAAAATCAAAACGCAGGTGTGTTATCACCTCTGCGGACTAAGATGGAATGACTCATTTCCAGTAAAAAAGGGTCTTCGGATCTCTACACTCACCATAGGAAACACAGCAGTATGAAGCTGCTATTTTACACAAGTATTCTGTGAGAGCATGGTCCTTCCCTGATCAAGCCGACCCATTCGTGCTACAACCATAATATAACTGCAGCGTGGCTCCACCACATACCTTAAAATGACAAGAAGGATCTCAATTCGGGTATAAGATACCTTGATATATTTACTTATTGTGGACTGATTTGAATGATTCTTTTTTAAAAGCTTGCGCTTTTGTTATTCCTGACTTTTATTGAAATTTGCAATAAAATGGGGGGGGGGGAATTCCATGGGGGAGACAAAATAGGGGAATATTCTAATGTAACTATTTAGGTGACAAGCTCAAGCTTTTGTTATTCCTTAGAAGCCACTCCACGAGTCAAAAAATTACACTTTTATAAAAAGTATAAGCCCACTTCAAAAAACTTAGTGGAATGAAATAATTTCTGCATAATAACTTCAGACATCACAGCTCTAATACTTCTATACACTCTGTCTTAGCATCGACTACTCTAACCAACACATTATCTCCAACAATTTTATTGAAGTATTATTTGACATAACTCATATTTTTAATTTATGCCTTAAAATAATCTAACTTTACATAGAGTACATATATTTTGTAAATATATCAGTAATATCAAGTATAAAATGCACCTATGAAAAATTTCTTTAAATGACACACATATAGTGTAAAATTATACGTGGTAGAGCCATACTGCAGTTATATTAGTAGTATAGTTGTAGCACAAATGGGTCGGCTCGACCGAGGAAGGACCACGCTCTCACAGAATACCAGCGTAAAATAGTAGTTTAATGCTGCTGTGTTTCATATCTTGAGTGTAGAGAACCAGAGATCCTTTTACCTGGAAACAAGCCATTCTACCTTAGTCCTAGGTGACAATGCATCTGCATTTTGATTCGTAATCAATGATAGATGTAGATGTCTATGGTCCACAGCAACCACTTACCATCAGGTGGACTGTGTGCTCGTTTGCCACTTTATTCTAGAAAAAAAATAGTAAAACATGCATTTAAAACAAGAAATTTGCTAAACAATTAAAGTACATAGCGTATAGAAAATTAATATGAAGGGCAGTAACAAATTTTAATCATACCTTAATGTGAAAGAAAGATGTGCGTGCTATGTTCGTAACGGGCGAACGCACTTGCTGCCTGGCATGGATGACATTCACCCTAAATGCATCCACTGCATTTCGTCCTATATCATCCCTATATACCCTTGAAATTAATACTTCGCCTTTGTGGTTGTAAACGAATAGGCCGCCGATCATTTTGACACAAGCCTAAAGCTGTTGAGAAAAACATTCATTACTACCTACAATATACAACAAAATTGGTATACTGTAAAGAAAATCTTAACATGATGGTTAAGTTGATAAGTGAATCAATAAAACAGGATATGACCAATAAAATAGATTCGATACAGTTAGCTAGGTACTGGTGTATTGATGAAAAATGTGCTTACCTTATTCCAAAATACAATCATTGGATCTCTACTTATTTTGATAATTAAATTCACTCTAACTTAAATATCCTAAACACTATCATTTTATAATAAATTTAGGATTAATAAAAAAGATTGAACTTCGATTCGATACCCGCCCCCAAAATGAAATTGAAGATTGAAATGATTGAAATTGAAACGTCAATAGGGGATATTCGATATACATCGATGCATCGAATTCACCCGATGTTTACAATACGATGCATTGAATCGATCCGATGTTTTGGAAAGTTATCTATACACTCGATGTATCGATGTATTTTCATAAAACATCGGATAAATGATAACCAGCTATTGATATTAATATTATAACTTCTAAATCAGTTATAATATTAGATATAATATTACACCTGTTGGTGGCACTAGTTGGCAGCTGTAAATCCCTTACGCAGAATTAGAGATGGGCTGAGTACTCGGTTAATACACGGTACTTGACGTACTCGGCGGGTTTTTTAATGCTTGTACTCGGCCGAATAACTCGGTTTTAATGCTGAGTATACTCGGTGAAAATAAAGCAATATATTTTGTTACATAGATATGATTAAAACAACAGTTAATCAAGAAGTATTTATTATTATAAACCAGCGACGAGGTTCGCCACCCGTCACGTTCTGTCTCCCGGAGGGGCGAAAAGTGAATTGCGGAAGCCCGTCTGGCTAAGCTGAATGTATGTGGAGCAATGTATGATAAGATTGATGAAGTATGCGATATGATGTATGATAGAGGAATAATAACAACAATAATAATAATAATATATAAAGGCGTAGGAAAGTGACGACCCCATCGCCCGCTGATATAACGGTTATGTGACAAAACCGCTACGTCGGCGCAGTCAGTCAGCACCTTGCCAAGAGGTGTTAGTGCCGTGCCTCGGCAAAAATTGAAGGTGCCAAGGCCCGCTTGTGCACATGGCCTAACCATGAAACGGCGCCGGGTCTGGGCGTCTCCCGCTAAATGACGCCCTAAAATGGATGATGGAATCAAATGGAACGCGCAAAGGGCCGCTGCCTGGAGGTCGCCAGGGCGCGTCTGGAGCTGGCGCTGGACGCGACAGCATACGAACCTCCAGCCGAGCGCGAGGTGCTGCACGACCACCCAGCAGCTCCTCGCATCCATCATCCCCACCAGCTGGCTTGGTGTCGGCAGGGTCTTCGCGGGCTCAGCAATCGGCACCCGCCACTGGTGGAGTACGCCGCATGCGTTGGACAACCCAGATGAACAGCAACGCATTGCGGGCGTATTTTAGGGCGAAAGGGGGAGAAACTGGAGGTTTTGCGTATCGGGCAAGGATGCATCGACTTTTTGCTGAGCTGGAGCCATCTGTAACCGTCACCGAGCAAAACCTGGCAGACCGAGTTCGGTATATCTTGCGCTCAAATACATTTGATGTCACCGAACTCGAACGGCTACGACGTGAGGCTGTTCCTTCATCGGGTGAAAATGCTGCGGCTGAGGATGCGGCGCCACAACTTGCCGAGCAAACGGCAAATGTGGATGCCGCCGTGAATACGCCAGTTGTGGTTGATTCAAACGATGATGGAACAGTCGCCCAGGAACTGGAACTAGAGCAAATGAGGAGTACATTGGAAGAGGCGATTGTGGAAACGCGCAGTACGACTCTCGAAAATCGACCGCGACTTCCCCGCTTAGCCCTAAGCAAGCGGAATCGGGCTGTCGTGAGGGCTCTGAACCCAATGCTGGTTACCTATTTGGAAGCCAGCCGGGACCTTTGCGAGACGGACTCAATTCTTTTTGGCGCCGCACTGGCAGTCTGCCGTATTATAGGTGCCAAACTTTCCACGGCTGGACGCGCTACTGGACAAAGTAGTGCTATCCCAGCCTGGAGAATAAGAATTGAAGAACGTATCGCAAAGGCTAGGCCCTCATCGGCAGACTGATATGCTTCAGGTCAGGCAATACCAGGCCAAGGATTGTGCGCACCGTCAGAATGGCGTTTGCTGGGACAAATGTTAGTTTGTCCCAGCCGGATATAATGCAAAAACTGACGGAGCGCATAGACGACCTGAAGCAAAGAATCGCTGCTTGGGGAAATCGGATTCGGCGATATACCGAGAGGTCGACACGGTTCAACCAGAATCGTCTCTTCCGGAGTGATCAGAAGAGGCTCTATAAATTATTGGAGCGACCAATAGTAAGTGAAATGGGCCCTGCACCAAATCAGGCCGACATGGTCGCATTCTGGCGCAGCCTGTGGTCAGAGCCCGTAAACCACAACGAGGGCCCTTGGACGGAAGTTGTGGCGAGTCAGTGTGCGAGTATTACCCCCATGGACCCCGTCATCATAACTCCGGATGACGTAGCTGAGGCGGTCCGTAGGGCCCCGAACTGGAAAAGTCCAGGGCTTGACGGGCTGCATCACTACTGGCTGAAGGGGTTCATGGTGTGTCACTCTGTGCTCGCCCGACAGTTTCAAGAGGCTCTCAACCAGAAGTCGCTCCCAAGCCTCTTCACTACTGGGATCACTCATTTGGTTCCTAAAGATCAGGGTGCCACAGACCCGAGCAAATACCGCCCCATCACGTGTCTACCGACCATATACAAGACACTAACATCCATTTTGAGCGCAAGAATCGCTCGTCACCTGGACTTAAATCAGGTGATGTCGCGCGCTCAAAATGGATGTCGGGGCGGCGGTCGTGGAACCAAGGAACCACTCCTCATTGACGCGGTCATTGGCAAAGTGGTGAAACGCAACCGTCGGAACTTCTCCGCCGCCTGGATAGATTACAGAAAGGCATTTGACTCGGTGCCCCATACATGGCTAAAGAGGGTCCTCGAGCTGTACAAGATTGACTGTACAGTTCGAGACTTCCTCGAGCAGTGTATGGGGCAGTGGAGTACGATCCTCTGTCATCTAGGCGAGCGGATGACGGCTGCGGAAAGCCGCATAAGGATAAGAAGGGGTATATTCCAGGGCGACTGTCTGAGTCCAATCTGGTTCTGCCTCTCTTTGAACCCTCTCAGTGCTTTACTGGAGGGCTCCGGGAGGGGATTTCAGCTTTGGAAAGGAGGTACAAAAGTGACCCACCTTTTCTATATGGATGACCTCAAATTATTCGCCTCCAGTCGCTCCCATCTTATGGAATTGCTAAACATCACGTGTGAATTTAGCAATTCTATTAGAATGGAGCTGGGGACGGATAAGTGTGTGGTCCTCCATGTTGAAAGGGGAAGGGTTGCTAACTCTGAGGGCATAGACTTATCTATGCCCGTCAACTTAAGAACCCTTTCCGAGGCTAAAACATACCGATACCTGGGTATGTCACAGAACATCGGTATCGATGAGGCTGGTATGAAACAGTCAGTTTGCGACGTGTTTTATGCACGCTTGACCAAAGTGCTTAACAGCCTTTTGCCGGTGTGAATAAGGCACACGCATATAACGGTTGGGTCATGCCTGTCCTCATGTATACCTTTGGCATACTCAGGTGGACTCAGACTGAACTTAACGCCCTGGATAGAAAAGTCCGCACTACCATGACGTCCCATAGGATGCATCATCCGAGATCGTCGGTAATGAGGCTGTACTTGCCGCGGAAGCATGGTGGTCGTGGCTTCTTGAGCGCGCTCACCATGCGTAATCGCGAAGTGTGCAGCCTCCGTGATTACTTCCTGGCGAAATCGGATGATCCATTCTATAAGGACGTCATTTCTTGTGATAAAGGACTTACCCCTCTATCCTTAGCCAACGAGCAATGGCAAGACCCGGCAGTGCAGAGCATTTCCGACCGGGAGACCGTATGGAAGGAGAAGGAGCTCCACGGGAGGTTTTACAAGGCTCTACATGAGCCTTTCGTAGACACAGTAGCCTCCCTCCACTGGCTACGCTTTGGTGATCTCTTCGGGGAAACCGAGGGTTTTGTCTGTGCAATACAGGATCAGGTTATTAAGACCAACAACTATCGGAGATACATCCTAAAGGATGGCACCGTCGACATCTGTCGAGCTTGTCGCCATCCCGGTGAGTCACTTAGGCATGTTATCTCCGGTTGTTCGGCGCTTTCTAACTCTGAGTACTTGCACAGGCACAACCTAGTAGCCAGAATTCTACACCAGGAGCTTGCTCTCAAATACGGTCTCGTGGATCGGAAATTGCCGTATTACAAGTACTTGCCGGAAGCCGTGCTCGAAAATGATCGCGCCAGACTCTATTGGGACCGGGCCATCATCACAGACAGGACTATTCTTGCGAATAAGCCTGATATTGTGCTGATGGACCGGGCACAGTCAAGGATATTTTTGGTCGACATTACCATTCCGTATGACGAGAACCTCGTGAAAGCCGAAACAGACAAGCAAACAAAATATCTGGACCTGGCGCACGAGGTGACCGACATGTGGGGTGGTCTGCCGACCGAAATTATTCCTGTAGTCGTCTCTGCAAACGGGCTAATCCCAGTCAGCCTCTCGGGTCATCTGAGGCGGCTGGGACTACGTGGCGGACCGCTCCAGGTTCAAATGCAGAAGGCGGTGCTCCTCGATACCGCCCGCATCGTCCGCCGGTTTCTTTCCCTTTCCCCCTAACCCTCGGCCGTTTGGTCTCCCCCTGCCGAGGGCCTCCATCTGGTTGGGCTTATACTTATTTATGTACTTTTATATTTATTTTATGTTATTGATATTTATGTATATTTATCTTTTCATTTTCATTTATAATTATATATTTATAGAACCCAACCAGATGAGAAAACTATATAGATACCCCACATAATAATAATAATAATATAATGATAGTCTTTATTTGCATAAGCCATTGTAATTATACAGATGTTTGAGAATTTTATTATGCACACATGTTTTGCTATTTTAAAATAATAAAGCATGCAAATTACATTCAAATCAAAAGAACCTATATACTATTAAAAATTAACAAAAATAAACATTTTTATTTAAATTATATTTCTTACAATGTCAAAATGATATTTTTTTAAATAAATTCATATTATGTAGTGTTTTAATTTCGTTAGGTATTTTGTTGTGTATACGTACACACATTGATAAACAGGATTTACTATATTTAGCTGACTTAGGAACTTCGCTTAGAACTAATCTATTCGGATTTCTTTTAAGCCTAGGATTAATATCAGATAACTTTTTAAATAAATATGTATGCTGTTTTACAAATTTACCTATCTAAAAATATATAACGAGGGCAGAGTTAGTAAAGACTCTAGTTGGGATATCACATATCGTCCTTATACACTTCTTTTGTGCGATAAATGCCCTACGCCAATCTGTGCTATTACCCCACATTATCATACCATATCGGAGTATAGATTCAATATACGCCCTATAGAATAATAGGGCTGTTTTTTATTATAATAATGTTTTTTATTATAATATCATAGTTACATTTTTTACGGTACGTAGTGCATACAAAAAACGATTAACTCTTTGACATAGGTCATCTATATGTATTTTCCAGTCTAAATTTCAATCTATAATTACACCAAGAAATTTAATTTGTTCTATTTCCTTAGTTTTATTGATATTTGAACTGGAATTAGTTTTTGTTTTATTAAAATGTATGTAATTTGATTTATCTAGGTTAATTTTCAAATTGTTTCTATGCAGCCAATTAGTTATATTATCGATTGGGTCATTTATTTCCTTTTCATGATTATGTAATGAATTACTGTTTTTTGAGATGTTACAATTACGAAAATATCGTCCGCATACAATATACATTAATGATTTGTCGCCAGAGTCATATCATTTATGTCTAAAAGAAATTTTACCAGCCCTAAAACACTACCTTGAGGAACACTGTAATTTATTTCTCTGTTCTTAAATGAGAAGGATAATATTTCATTTTTTACCATTTTATCAATAATGCCCTCGATTTGATAAACAAGATGAAATCCACTGTAGAGCTATCCCTTTAATTCCAAACAAATCTAATATACTTAAAAGAAAACTATGTGTGACAAAGTCATACCCTTTACTTAAATCAAAGAATAATCCTGTTGTTAGTAGGTTGTTATTTATGCTAGAACTTTACTTTACTCACCTCATCTTTCGACATTGATAGTGATATTGTATTTTTAGGTGTAATATCTTCCGTATTATCATTATTAGTTATAATATAATAAGTCATTTCAATAAAATAGTCATTAAAATTGGTTGCTATATCATAAGGGTTCGTTAGGTTTTTATCATTTATTTTTATATCCTTAATATTATCCAATTTTGTGGCTGAAATTTCTTTTTTTATGACGGACCATGTTGCCCCGCTTTTATTTTTACTGTTACTTATAAATTGTGTTATAGATGTGTTATGTGTAAATGAGGCGAAACGGAAGGGGCAGGATGTCACTACACATGGCATGTATACCGCAAACTGGTTTGGTATATACGAGACAGACCGGGCATGCCAGGAAGTAGGTGTTATCCTTTCAGAAGAAGAAGTTGTTTGTGCTAGGGGTCTACGCCTCAGACATGTCTAAGCCCACTTATATCTGAGACTAGTTTTGGGAAATAGTAAAGATGGTGTTAATGAAATGTAAGGGAAATGAAAATATTATTATGCTAGGAGATTTTAATGGAAGGGTTGGGGTGAAGAGGCTTGGTTATTAAAGGATATTGGGGACGTTTGGTGATGAAAGTATAAATGAGAACGGTGAAAGCCTCCTCACCGTATGCATGGAAAATAATCTTTTGGTGATGAACACTTTCTTTCGCCACAAGAAGATTCACATGTATACTTGGGAAAGAGGTGATGATAGAAGCATGATAGATTTCATAATTGTAGATGAAAGAATGAGGAGCGCAGTGGTAGATACAAGGGTTTACCGGGGGTCTAACGTAGGAACTGATCATTATTTGGTTTTATGCTGAATTAATGGTCTATTCAGGCGTTGGCGCCATCGGACATCTGTGTCTACCACTGCGTTACATAATAATAACAATAAATAAATGAGGAGAATATTGGATGAGTTGATGCTCGAAAATCGACCGCAACTTCCCCGCATACCCCTTAGCAAGCTAAATCGGGCTGTCGTGCGGGCTCTTAACCTAATGCTGGTGACCTATTTGGAAGCCAGCCGGGACTTTTGCGAGACGGACTCAATTCTTTTTGGCACCACACTGGTAGTATGCCGTATTATTGGCGCCAAACTACCCATGGCTGGACGTGCTACTCGACAGAGTAGCGCCATCCCAGCCTGGAGAAAAAGAATCAAGGACCGTATCGCAAAGGCAAGTGCCCTTATCTGCAGACTGACAAGCTTCAGGTCGCGTAATAATAGACCGAGAGTTGTGCGCACCGTTAGAATGGCGTTTGCTGGGATAAATATTAGTTTGTCCCAGCCGGATATCACGCAGAAACTAACGGAGCGCATAGATGACCTGAAGCAAAAAATCGCTGCTTGGGGGAAGCGGATTCGACGATTTAGCGAGAGGTCAAGGCGGTTCAACTAGAATCGTTTTATCCAGAGTGATCAGAAGAGGATCTATAAATCATTAGAGCGACTAGAGGTATGTGGAGAGGGCCCAGGACCGGATCAGGCTGACACTTTCGCGTTTTGGCGTGGTCTGTGGTCAGAGCCCATAAACCACAGCGAGGGCCCTTGGATGGAAGTTGGGTAAGCCAGAGTGCGAGTGTTACGCTTATGGACCCCGTCACTATAACGCCGGAAGACGTGGTTGAGGCGGTCCGTAGGGCTGCGAACTGGAAAAGTCCGGGGCTCGACGGGTTGCATCATTACTGGCTGAAGGGGTTCATAGTGTGTCACGCTGTGCTCGCCCGACAGTTTCAAGAGGCTCTCGATCAGAAGTCGCTCCCGAGCCTCTTCACTACTGGGATCACTCACTTGATTCCTAAAGATCAGGATACCACAGATCCGCGCAAATACCGCCCCATCACGTGTCTAGACTTCCTCGGGCAGTGTATAGGGCAGTGGAGTACGATCCTTTGTTATCTGGGCGAGCGTATGAAGGCTGCAGGGAACCACATAAGGATAAGAAGGGGTATCTTCCAGGGTGACCAAAGTGCTTAACAGCCTTTTGTCTGGTGGGAAAAAGACACACGCATATAACGGTTGGGTCATGCCTGTCCTCATGTATACCTTTGGCATACTCAGGTGGACTCAGACTGAACTTAACGCCCTGGATAGAAAAGTCCGCACTACCATGACGTCCCATAGAATGCACCATCCGAGATCGTCGGTAATGAGGCTGTACTTGCCGCGAAAGCATGGTGGGCGTGGCTTTCTGAGCGCGCTCACCATGCATAATCGCGAAGTGTGCAGCCTCCGTGATTATTTCTTGGCGAGATCGGATGATCCATTCTATAATGACGTCATTTCTAGTGATAAAGGGCTTACCCCTCTATCCTTAGCCAACGAGCAATGGCAGGACCCAGCAGTGCTTAGCATTTCAGACCGGGAGACCGTATGGAAGGAGAAGGAGCTCCACGGGAGGTACTACAGGGCTCTACATGAGCCCTTCGTAGATACAGTCGCCTCCCTCAACTGGCTACGTTTTGGTGACCTCTTCGGGGAAACCGAGGGTTTTGTCTGTGCAATACAGGATCGGGTTATTAAGACCAACAACTATCTGAGATTCATCCTAAAGGATGGCACCATCAACATTTGTCAAGCTTGTCGCCATCCCGGTGAGTCACTTAGGCATGTCATCTCCGGTTGTTCGGCGCTTTCTAACTCTGAGTACTAGCAAAGGCACAACCTAGTAGCCAGAATTCTACACCAGGCGCTCGCTCTGAAATACGATCTCGTGGGCCGGAAATTGCCGTATTACAAGTACTGCCGGAAGCCGTGCTCGAAAATGACCGCACCAGGCTCTACTGGGACCGGGCCGTCATCACGGACAGGACTATTCTTGCGAATAAGCCTGATATTGTGCTGATGGATCGGGCATAGTCAAGGATATTTTTGGTCGATATTGCCATTCCGTATGACGAGAACCTCGTGAAAGCCGAAACAGATATGCAATCAAAATATCTGGATCTAGCTCACGAGGTGACCGACATGTGGGGTAGACTGCCGACCAAAATTATTCCTGTAGTCGTGTCTGCAAACGGGTTAATCCCAGTCAGCCTCTCGGGTCATCTGAGGCGACTGGGACTCCGTGACGGACCGCTCCGGGCTCAAATGCAGAAGGCGGTGCTCCTCGATACCGCCCGCATCATCCGCCAGCTTCTTTCCCTTTCCCCCTAACCCGTTTAGTCGCCCCTGCCGAGGGCTTCCATCTGGTTGGGCTTTAATTTATTTATATATTATTTATGTTAGTATATTAAATACATATTTAAGTATATTTATTTTTTCCTTTTATATATTTATCCAGCTCAACCAGATGTGATTACTCTATCAATAACCCCCAATAATAATAATAATATTTTATTTAAATAAAAGTACAATAATAAAGTGAAGACTCTGATCCCCAAACTAGACGAGTCTGTATCTTAGGGATCAGCGGCCTCTCCCAGTGTTGTGACAACAGTATTAATTCAGTAACTAATAACATTTAATTAATAATTAATTAAGTAACTAAGCTTAGCATTTTAAGTAACTAAATAGCTATTTAAATGGTTTTATTTACACCTAAACATAAACTGTAACTTAAACCGACTAAAGTAAATTATATTTTATAATATAATCGGAGGTATATATATATATATATATATATATATATATATATATAAATATATATATCTATATATATATATATATATAGCTGCAGCGTGACTCTACCACATATAAAAAATATCATAAAATAAATTATCGCCATTAAATATAATATATTACTGCCATTATATTCTCTTGGGTATTATTTAAAGTACCCGGAGTAGTCTGTGCAATAAAAAAATTATAAAAAGTTCTTTAAAATTAAGACGTAGCTAGTGTCGCCACTTTTATTTAACGCTTTCCTACGGACACTTTTTTACACAGAGTCTGTACTCTTTACCTCTGCACTCCATACACGGTGTTTTATACCTCGCCGTTTGCACAGAATGCGAGTGTGAGGCATAAAAATAATAAAAAGTAGTTTTGAAACTGAAATACACACATAATCAATAAACTAACAATTTCACACACACACACACACACACACACACACACACACACACACACACACACACATATACACACATACATACGCACGCACACACGCACACACACACACGCTTACGCGCTCACAGTCGCACACACGCACGCACACACGCACGCACGCCCGCACAAACGCACGCACGCACGCACTCACGTATGCACTCACGCACGCACGCACGCACGCACTCACGCACGTGCGCACACACACACACACACACACATACATTAAAACAGTATCTTAGAGTAATTACATACAAACAGTAGCGTTCGGTGATAGCGACAATTCGGATACAGACGCAAGTCCTATACAGATCAGTCGCTCAACTGATCTGCATAATGTATGAGGGCGAGCTGCCTGTGTTGGTAAACTAATCCGAAACAACACGACGTTATAATTATAATTTTTACTAAGTAAATTAAAAGTAAGTGTGTGTGTGTGTGTGTTTGTATGTTGGTGGGTTTTTGAGTGCGCGAGTTTTTGGGTTTTTTGAGTGTGTGGTTACAACTAGTTTATTTGTACGTATAAAACCGCGGTGACTTATATTTTGTCAGAGGGGAATGAATGCATCCGATCTGCCGCCCGTGTTGCTCTATGCCAATCGAAGTTAGTTTTTGGTGCCCAACGTGGACCAATGCTTCTGTGTTACTCGCTCGATGATTTCTTTATTATTAATTATCTATGTTGATCACTGATGCTATTGATGTTTAGGGGTGTCAACTTTGAAAATACATAGATGTTTCTTTTCGATGTAATGCATCGAGACTGTGCATCGATATATTCCGGTGCATCGGTTAAAAACATCGATGATTATTCAACATCGATTACTTTTTCCAACTTTAACCATTTACTGCATTTGTTCAAGCAAAATTATACTAAATGTTTTTTATTTATTAATTTATATGGGCATTTTTTTATTTTGTTGTCGATATGGATTTTCCCGTGTCCCAAAAGTACATACAACATTTTTATAAGATTTAAATATTTTTTTTGTGGAAACTATATTTTGATCTTAAATTAGATATTATAGGCACCCAAAATATGTTTCAATATGCTATCATATTTGTTTTTTCTCAAAACAACAGGGCTTTATATGTGAGCAAATAGCTGTTTTAACCGTGTCCTCCTAGAAATCGAACATATTGAAGTTCAATTTTTAAGATTATTTTTCACTATCGGGTATGCCTATTTATAGTTTAAAACCTGTAAAATATAGTTCTTAGTCAAGTTTTTATGCTTAAATTACCACAAAGAAAACACACGTATAGTAAAAATTCAATTAAATACGTCGACATAAAATGCACCGCAATGGAAAGTCCTATTGAGTTACATACTTTTTTCCATATTTCATCAAAAATTTCGATGCAACATTTTATTTTTATGAACTTACAACACTTAAGAAGACGTGGCATGATGCCATTGTGAATGTATAAATGGCGTCAGTGTGCATGACAGCGCCCGAGAGAAGAGGACGTGTCAGGCGTTACATTTTGTAATCCATTGAATTACGGTATTTTCTGTGGTAAGTGCAATGTTTTATGCAGTGTTTAGATATTATTTAGTTATGCAATCTGTGAATTTCAAATATGTTAACTATTAAGTTAAATTTATTTAAAAAATCGAAAATGTTTAGCATATTACTTAGTTACGGCAAAATCGTTACGTTCCGTTGAGAAATTTTGTAACTCAACGGATCAAAATGTAACTCAATGCAAGGCTAAAGTTACGTTCATATTGTTATTTTTCCAGTATCCTTATAATATTGGCAATATTATATCGATTTTAATAATATTATAAATATTCATATATTAATACTTATAATATTATTATAGTGTACGAATATAGTGATAATATTAACTAGTGCAAGTAATTTAAGTAATATGTATTTTTTTATTATTTGCAAAACATTTTTTCTCGGTTTTGCCTTTATCCACACGGCCATTAGATTTCATTTTAGTCCAAATTTTATTTTGCTTTTGACTATTTTGTACTGTTTGAAATTAATGATTATAATACATTGTTGTAGGGATAAAATGGCTATGACTGCAGCAGAACGAATGAAAAAATATAGGGAAAGGTTAAAACAGAATCCGGAAAAGTATAATAATGTTAAAAAGAAGCATACAGAATATGTCAAATCTAAAACTAAAAAAATTAACGAACTAACGGAGAAAGATAAAGAAAAACAACGAAAGATATGGCGAAATCAGAAACGCAAGCAGACAATTAAAAAAAAGGAACTTCAAATAATAGAAAAGGAAAACATAGACAATACCACACCAAAGAAGAAATGTCAAAATAAATTATTCAGAAAATATAAGGCGGCTCTGAAAAAAATAGAAACTTTAATGAGAACTGTAAGTACATACAAGAAACGCTTATATCGTCAAAAACAAGACACAGATAGAAAAGTTAAGGAACTTGAAGAAAAAATATTAAAGTTACAAGCAAGAGAGGAGATATTAGAAGCAACATTAAAAAAATCCTACATGGGATGCAAAACCATAAAAGAAAAACGTAATATCAAGAAAATTGTTCTTGACAACATTGTTCAACATTCCATTAACAAAACTTTTGTTTCCAAATTATTAGGCCTAAGAGGTCTGGCAAGAATTAAACTCCAAAGCGGAATGCAGACTAAAATCAGAAAAGTAATAGAAACATTTTATATAAGAGACGACGTGAGTAGGATGACAGCAGGGAAAAAGCAATGCCGTACAATGAATAAAGAAAAGAAACAGATTCGATATCTGACCGACACGGTCTCTAACTTATATAAAATGTATCGCGAAGAAGGTGGAAAATATAGTCTCGCGACATTTTTCAAATATAGACCCTTTTTTGTTTTATCCCCAACGGTTGAAAATAGAGAAACGTGTTTGTGCATTAAACACAACAATACTGATATGTTGTTTTATGCACTTAAAAAATATCAAATCCTAAATAATTTTAATACTGTAAATGATGTTATAAAAAAACAGTGTTGTAGCATACAGTCGAAAGATTGCATGTATGGAGAATGCAAAGAGTGCAAAGACAATAAAATACATTATGATTCATTGGAAGAAAATCTAGAAGACAGAGTAAAGTGGCATCAGTGGGGTATAAGCGATCATAAATATATAAAAATAGAAAACAAGATCTCTAAAGAATTTACAACAAAAAGAACAGTTAAACTACAAAAAGAAGGCAGCCGCGGCGATTTGGTATCAGCTTTTGAAAGAAATATGAAATTATTTAAAATTCATCACTTCAATTGGATTTACCAACAAAAACAATACCAAGAGTGTGTTAACAACCTCAAGCCTCATGAAGCGTTAATAATATGTGACTTTTCAGAAAATTATGGTTGCAAAATGGGGAAAGAAATCCAAGCTCAACATTTTGGTGCTTCTAAGAGACAAATAACGTTACATACCGGAATGATTTATTGTACTGAGAAATCACAGTCGTTTTGTACGATATCAGACAACAATGCCCATGAACCTGCAGCCATTTGGGCGCATCTTTTGCCTGTGATCCGTGAGATCAAGAAAATAAACCCCCCTGACAAAAGTACTGCACTTCTTTTCTGATGGCCCTTCCTCCCAATATCGTCAAAGAAACAATTTTTTCCTGCTCAATTTATTCACAGAAAAGTTGAAGCTTGATTATACCACCTGGTCGTATTCTGAAGCAGGTCATGGGAAAGGAGTGGCGGATGGCATAGGAGGTTCGGTTAAGAGAGCTTTAGATCGTCAAGTTGCATTTGGCAGGGATGTTGAGAATGGCTTACAAGCATACGAGCATCTTTCAAAATGTATGAAAGTCGTAAAAATTATATATATACCCAACAGAGATATTGATAATATTAAAAAGATTATACCCGAAAATCTCAGCACAATAAAAGGCACTATGAAAATACATCAAATTTTGTCATGTACACCAAACTGCATTAAATATAGAACTCTGTCCTGTTTTTGTGGCATTAAAAGGGGTTGTTGTAATTGTTTCGTTCCGAAAACACATGTTTTTAACAACAGAATATTACAAAAGATTACCAAAAGATGCGATTCTCCTACTGAGATTGTTAACTTTTCTCCTGATCATCAAACGGACATACAAAACTCTTCAAACTTTGATTCATCTGCTACATCAACCAAAAAATCTCCAATGAAAGTCGCAAAAGTAGCTGAGCCTGATCATGTTGTGATCACGGTTACAGCTGATATCCATGAAAACTATCAAAACAATCTGGAATATTTACCGATACCTAAGAACTCTGATGAAATCGTTAATTCAAACAAAGAAAATATGGATTTCAACCGGATACAGATTGAGGACCAAGAACCCCTTTCCTTAAATGATATTAGCCTGGACTTGGATATAAATTTGAATAATGGTGCTGAGGAAAATGTCATGGATGAACCTGTTCCTAAAAAACAAAAAATTAACATTTTAGATATTAAGAATATATCAACCGAAAATGTATTCACCGCGAGCAAAACCGAAAAATGTAAGTCCTTGAAAACAATAATTAAACGCACTTTACCATGTAATCAGTGTAAAAAACATTATCTTTTTAATGCTTGCCTAAACAAGTGTACCCGGTGTGGTTTCTATTACTGTATAAAATGCTCTGGCAATTTAAATCTTAGTTGTGATTATATCTGTGAATTTTGTTATAAATAATTGATTTCAATAATTTATAATCAGTTATTAGTTGATTTTGTTGATTATAGAAATAGCTGTTAGTAACTTAGTAAAGACTGATTTATAGTAATATCTAAATAGGATAAGTAGACACCAAGAATACCTTTTATAAGATGTTGCATTGTTTCTCATTTATGTTTATTATATTTACCAAAATAATAGTATTAATTGAATAATGTGGACACGGCTTTACGTTTTAGTTACGTTCCATTGAGAGATTGTCCCCTTATTTTATTTTATTGATTTTGAATATTTTTTTAGATTTTCTGCTATGCAAGTGTTTTGTTTATATTTTGTCGTTTTATGAAAATGTTTAATTAATTATAGAAGGATTTTAACTGTCATATGATCGTAGTTACCAATTTTAGAAGAATAAAAAGTATGCGGAAAAGTCAGCAATGTAACTCACAGGACTTACTGTTCCAAATACTCGGTTACTTTAGTTATGTTTTATGTTTATTTGACATTATTTCATTAATGTTTCTCATTATTTTAATCATGAAATAAAAAAAAATAATGTACATTGAGTTTTATTATATTTTTTACAAACCAACATTTTGTTTCTCAGTGGATAACATTTTGCTAACTTCTTTAAGTAAAAGGTAATTATATTCTTATTTCTGTACTATTTATGTTTTATTATTATAAATAATGGTAATTCACAGAATGAGGAACTAAATTAATTAATTTTAAAAGAAAAAGCATCAACTTTATTTTTTACTCAACTTTAAAAAAATGAGACAACAAAATAAAAAAATGCCCATATACAAATATCAAGATACAGAAGCAGTCTTATCATAAGTTCGTACAAAGGTTCTACTTATTCCGTAATTTGCTGAAATACCTTCCAGTAGACCCATAAAGGAAATTATATTTAAATAGCAAACTTAGTGCATACATTACTACTACTAATGAATAAATAATATACAAAATATTACGTAAATTATATAAAATAAAACAATAAATAAAAATAAAATAAACCAATACATAATAACAATAAATACGATAGTTACATATGATATATATAAACTAATATTAATATAATAGAATTATATTAATTAACAGGATGCAAAGAAGTTATCTCTAAGACGTTTCTTAAATACCAACAAAGTTTCAGAATTTCTTATATTAGACGGTAGTGAGTTCCATAACCTTACTACGTGAACTGAAAAGGAGTGGGAGTAAAATCCGGAATTATAGACGTGAAAGTCAAGAAGAGTTTTAACAAGGGATCTGCATGATTTGGGTGAATGAAAATCGGTTTCAGAGGTATGTGGGAGAGGAAGAGTTGTGCAAGATGTTATAGAGGAGACATAACAATCGAGTGTTCCTTCGAAGTCGAATTGGGAGCCACTCGAGTTGCTTGCAAAACTGAGATATACGGTCAAATTTCTTGTTGTTTGTTAAATTACAACTGAATTTGTATAATTAGCTTCGCGATTCGATTCACGAATGATTCAATGGAATTTACGCAGTTAGTTATAGATAATTTGTGTTGTAAAGTACTTTACAAACAACAAAGTATCTTCTATACATATTCTTTCATTCATTAAATTGTAAAACTGTACTTTTGTTCATATGAGAATAAATAAGTTTACCTAAAAACCTATTTAATTACTTTACTTTCCTGACCAATCGAACATGTACCGAAAAGATGGGATTTTCTTCACAAAAAACATTCACGACATAAAATCAAATGTAATATAACATTTTAAAGCTCACCGAAACGGAACAAATGATTTTTTTAAATGCTCTATAGCACTGTGTAGAAGTGGTCGTTACAAAACGTAACTAGTTACTGAAACTATCTATTCACACAATAGCGGGTAGCGGGTTATTGCAGTGCAACGAAACTATCTATTACAGTAGACGTTTTACTCAGTAACACGATTCACGTTTCACGAATCACGAACGAGCCATCAGTAACAAAACGTTTATTCGGCTATTTTCGCGACGCATCGGCGACGGCTTCGGCTGTTGAAGTAGAAGCACATGAGTAAAGAAACCGACTCTTTACGCTGTGGTAGAAGTACCACCAGTCGTCGAAAGTCGAGTGAGCGCGGGTGCTTTTGCATTTGACCTATGGACTCTATTCCCTTCGTATAGATGCGATATTAGAAATGAGAAAGTGAGTGTACGTGTTTTTAACAAAAAATAGTTCAAATACCATAATTTAAGTGGCCTTGGCCCGGTTTAAATTAGTCTTGTGTTTAAGTTTAATGACACGGTTTGTTTTTACTTTTTAGGCGCGTTTGTTAATATTTTTGTTTTCTTTTTTGTGCAATAATAATAATAATATTTTAGTAAAATAAGAACTGAATACAATTATATATATTAGTGTTAATAAAAATAATAATTGTACAGTAATTAGTGTAAGTAACCAAGTGTAAAAATAATACTAAAACTTTATGTGATAGTTATCAAAAATGTCTCGAAGTAATGCCAGTGTACTTTTCAAGTGATATTTTTATCAAACCGTGCGAACTGATTTAACAAATAAATAAATTTAACCATTAACACCATGGCTAATTCTATACGAAACGGTAACAACGGTCGCAACGTTTTCAATTGAACACGTCGTGAAACACTATTGAAGCTGATTGAAACCACTATTAAAATAGAGGGTTTCAAAACCCTCTATTAAAATAGAGTGTTTCAAAAGCCGCTATTGATATTCGATAGTTAGTTTCGTTTCGTTACTCAAAAAAGCCGCTACTACCCACCGCTAGCACTGTGCTGGCAACCAGTCAATGTCAATTTCTTGATTCCACGTAGAGATGTGCCGAGTAGAACTTTTGCCGAGTAACGAGTAGCGAGTTTTACTCGGTTCAATTTTTTGCTACCGAGTTACTCGGCCGAGTACTCGGTTCAATCAAATTCCTCTTTCGGGCACGCAAACAAGTAAAAACAGGTTCTCAAGGCGCGAGTGGTCAGCTCGCGTTGATATACCCCTCATCCCGCCCGCACCTTTCGTCTTAGGGATGGCGATTCTTTCCGAAAAAAACCGGAGACAGACAGATCAGAAGACATAATGAGTTATGTAAAAGATCACGAATTTGTACGTTTTGCGATGAGATTAAAGAAGATAAAACCAAAATGAAATGTACCTTATGAAATTTTCTGATTTCACGTAGTAGTGTTGGACGAAAGTCTTCTACGACGGCAATGTTAAATCATGTTAAAATAAAACACGCAAGAGTCGAAAGAAAATGAATGTTTAGCCACTAATATGCACTAATATCCACTGACGTGACCCTTTTAACCACTGTATAGATTTATGCATACGTCTTGCATAGAAATGAGACAGAGCGGTGTGATTGTTTATCCCTTTCTCCGTGCCGGTTTTTTCGTTTAGCAAACTACACTTTGCTAAAAAACTTTGACAGTTCGTAGCGATCTAAGGAGTTTACAAGTTGGTATAAGAGAAAAAAGTATTTTGTGAGCTTGGTGAATCTTGTTCAGTTTAATTCTTAGAACAATTAAAATATTTATCTAAATATGTTTAAAAGTCATAAAGATTATTGTATAACCTAAAACTACGTTATCGTCCTTTCTCACTCGAGGCCACGTTAGTCATTAGTCTATAGTTTTCTGTGTCTACGGTGGGAATGTGAGCTGATATTTCACTAATATATCAATTCACACGTATAAATGTCAACACATCTCTTTTGACGTTACCAATAGAGAAATATTGATGTAGCATTCTCTGTCTACGTATTGATGTGTCAAAAACAACAGATATTAGAAGCACTAGAAATGTAACAAGGTTTTACCGATACCGATAAGCCGGAAAATATTATCGCTTTTAAAGTACTTGGTTTAATGAAAAGCTAAATAGATACGATAAAATACCATAAAAAATATTAATTTAATGACCTACGAATAAACTCAATTTTAACCTTTTTTATCAAATTGTAAGTTTGTACCCTCTATAGAATAACATTAACAAATTGCAATAAAGTTTTTAGATTTGATCTTCTAGTTGCTTATCATTACTATATAGTATATACTAAATATTCACACACATATTTTGTTAAAAGTAAAAAAATATATATGTTCATACTTTATCATCCGATTTCGCGCTAGCCTTTATTGGCTTACCTATACTGTACTATTTACTACTATTGAAACTTTTCTTTGATATTTTTCATTTCCATATACCATTTTTGCAGTTTTGGGGTTTTCCTGGAGATCCTGACTTATATAGACATACATACACACTAGATCGATTAATGATTACGGATGGGTTGAATTGTTACGGTCTAATAAGCTTTTAATAAATGTTACTATTCTATAACTTTGAATAAGTTTTATTATTTTGTAAATACTGTATTATTTATTATAGGTAGTAAGTACCTTCTTAATAGACCAACATTTATTTTTAGTTAGTTTTGTATTCATAGCAACCTATTGCAATTTGTGTATGTCAACTAACGTTGATAAACAGTCCAACACGTTTAAAAGATAAAAAATAATAAGGAAATATTAATTTAAAGAAGTATACGAATACTTTTTCTTCCTCGTTGAATTCAGTCATATCACGTTATCTCTTTGAGGATAACAGGTAACATAGCCTTTTTATTCATCCAGCCCATACCAAATCTCGTCAAAATTGGTTGAATGGCTTAGCATTTCCTATACAAAGTTTTATACCCATTTCAACGTTTTTATCCAAATATGCGATTTAACGGCTAATAACGACTAAACTAAAGTAGGTTTTACAGCCTACTTAGCTGTGATATCACTTTTTTGGCTTAACTAGGCATTAAACTATCTTAATTTTGTAAAAATAGATTCAGCTGTTTAGCCATAAAATCTTGAGACTGACATTCGCATTATAATAGTAAAGTATCAATTTGTCATACATAATGTGTTTTAAATAATGTTGTAATTTGAAGAATACCTTATACATTGATAGATTTTTCTGGCTCTCGTATTATTGGATACTGACATTGAATGCAATATTGTTAAATTATCACTACGTTAAATTTTTTCTGCAAAGTAAATTACAATTGAAATGTTTTAATTGTAACTTAAATTAAATTATTTTATTAAAATAATTTCTTACCACATTTGGTACCATGTAAGGGTACATAACTGATGTTCTTATTATTTTTAATTACAGTTTTTTCTAATGAATAATTGCTGAATATTTTACATCATTTTGTGGAAGTCTAGTCTATTCTTCCAGTTGCTTCCTATCATTTTTGTGTTGATCTGGATGCATTGCTGAGGATACACATTCATAAATTCGGGAATGAAAATAGAAAAACGAAAATTTTAGTAACCCCGTAGACAGAGAAACCTAAAGACAAATTGACGTTTTCTTTCGCATTCGCACACGAAAACGATACATTTATGCATAAGTCTTGCATAGAAATGAGACAGAGCGGTGTGATTGTTTGTCCCTTTCTCCGTGCTGTTTTTTTTTTGCTTAGCAAACTGCACTTTGCTAAACAACTTTGACAGGTCGTAGTGATCGCAGGAGTTTACAAGTGTGTTTAAGTGAGAAAAAAGTGTTTTGTGAGCTTAAGATTGGTGAATCTTGTTCAGTTCAGTTCTTAGAATAATTAAATATTTTATATAAATGTGTTTAAAAGTGATAAAGATTATTGTATAACCTAAAACTACGTTATCGTCCTTTCTCACTCGAGGCCACGTTAATCATTCTCTGTCTATGAGCAACCTACGTTAGTACTCTTGTTAACCCATTCATTGCCACTTAAATTTTATAAACATCACCTGGGTGCCACTTAATATTTTTGTGGATTACAGAAGAAAAGGCGTAATTAAATGTGTTCTTTAATCACAAAAATCCCATAAATAACAAAAACCCATCTAAAAATGGTAAACGCACCATACATGGTGGTGGCACTGGTAAGAGAAATTTAATCACTAGTGCCATTCAACATGCCGTTTGCGTTGACGTTTGGATAGTATTATGTAACATGTTCTGAGAGACTGATGCTGGATATGTCAATATGCTGCTTTATTTATATAATCTATGTTTGTTTATAAATAGGTGTAAGTCCTTGTTTTACACACATAATATTATTTTGTTCTGTCCTAAATTTTTGTATCTTACGTATTTATAACTACTTAGTAACTTGAAGCATGCGGTGTATACCTATTGTTGGTGTACTTAATTAAATAAATAATTTCGTATCAGAATTATTTAACATCTTTGCTCCTTATCTGATTAATGTATACCTATCCACTTTGTATATTGTTACATTTACGGCACCCAATAAAAACCTCTCTGGATGACCTTTGAGTGGGTTGATTATTTTAATATACATAGGTTCGTAAACAATAAAAGTGAGAGAAACCCATGAAGATAATCATTTATTTTTAAAAATAAAAAAAATTACAATTAATAGTTGTGGTACCCTTTGTAACAATTATATTTTAATAATTAAAATCTATCATATAAATCTTCACATAAATAATAATTATCTTTAAACAACTAGTTTATATTTTTCACGTACCTACTTTTTAAACATAAAATATACCTATGGATTTTCTCTATTTTTCTACCTATGACCTATGGCCTTGGATACTATAAATGCTACTGCGGAAGTAATACAAATAAGTTTCTCTCTGTGGATTCATAATTTAAACCTTATAAAATACGTAAAATGTGACGGCCAGTTTATAAAATATTTATTAAATAAATACATTACGAATAGTAAATTTAACTTTATGAGTGTAAAAAATATAAAAAAATACGAGACACGCATAAATTAAGTGATTTGTTCCTTGTGCATCATGAATAAAACTATCCAATAAAGTTTTTTACTGCTATGCCAACGAACGAACCGTATGCGTGCATGTGACTTTATTTTTCAAAAACACGATGAAACAAGGGAAAAGAAAGAAAAAAATTAAGAATACTGATTACTTTTATCTAATAATTTACTAATATATAATGAACACTCGTTAAAACTCAAGTTATTTTAAATTCAAAATGTACGTTATTAGTACCAATCTTTTTTTCATTGTCAAAACAAGAATGACAATACGAAGCAAAAACCATCGGTGTTTCCACATTTAAAAATTATTTCTAATAGTTAATGTTGCCATAGATTAAAATAAATTTCTACCGTTTTTATTTAATGCAAAAAAAACCTCAAGAAGTCACTCAACATTTACGGTGCGTTGGTGGCATGACGTAGTAATCTCGATCAACGCAAATGGTGCGTTGGTGGCAATGAATGGGTGCGTTTGGCAGAAAAAAGCGCTAGCAAGCGTTTACAAGCGCTAAAATAGTTTTCGGCCAGGACACGATTGCTATGTACTTCAGTAGCGCTGACACAATCCGCCATTTTGCTTATTTAATTTGTTTGTTTTGAAGTAGAGTTTATAAGTTGTTTTATGCAATATTAGTTTTAAGTAATATAATGACATGAATAGACATATACATGTTATTAAAAATTCATGATTGGTAAGTTTTTAATATGAATACTTTACAAACAGATATTTAAATTAGGTTAGATTCCCCGATTAAAACTAACATCGTGTCCTGGAGGAAAATAGCTACTTACGATTTGACAGCGCTTACCGCTTACGATCGCCATTTTGCTTACAAGCGCTTGCTAGCGCTTTTTTCTGCCAAACGCACCCATAGGGTTAAGCAACCCTTATTCCATAGACAATAAAAGAACGTTAACAAATTTCTATTTTGTTTATGGTCTGTGATTTGGGTCGATTATGTCATGGCGGGTTAGACGTTTTCGGCACTTAGTTTTATTGAATTTGTTTTGAATTACCTCGTCAATGATCGCGTTTCCTACGTTTTTGTTTGAAAGTGACGGTATTTATACTTTAGTAATTATTTTATAAACCTTTCAAATGCTGAAACAATTGCAGATGGGCCTACGCACGTTCATGCTAATCGCATCCAAAGTATGGAGTTGTTTTTGTTATATGTTTAGAAAGCAATATCGAGCGGTAAATATAAATGTTCGCAATTAAATCGTATATTTGGGGACATCATATATTGTGTACCTACATGTGGTGTTTCTTTTACAGTTGGCTCAATATCAATCTGTCAAATATGAAATCTATCCACTCTCTCCAGTATCGAGACACAGGCTGAGTAAGTACAATCAGTTTTATCAGTACCTTATTATTGTTATTGCATTTCGTCTGAATGATTTGCAGCTAATGTATTTATCACGTACTCGCACGTGCAATATCAGTTAACATCCTTACGTAGGATATTTTGTATGTATATATTCTCATGTAAACAAGTTAATTTTATTTATAAATGGGACAAACATATTAGGTTTCTCAACTTTTAAACATTTAAATAATCGCCAATAGGCACTTGTATTTACTAAGAATTTTAGTGATCAGCTTACTACATTAAGTGGATAAAATATATAAAATAGTAACTTACTATAGATTTATGTGTGTCCACCCTCAAGAAGGGTTATGTTTATCAGGTCTGTACACACAATATGTGTATAAATTCATATAATATGTTTTTCTGTTCGTTTTGACCTTATATAGCTTAAATGGGTTGAAAACTTAGAAGTGTAAAAGGTTTCTTAGGTTTACCTTTGTCATTTGCTGTATTAGAGGTTACATTTTATATTGATAGTAATAATGCAATGCTCACAAAATATTATATGATACTTCTATAAAATGCATAACTACACAAATAAGTCTCTATCACTCTTGCTGAATGAAATAATTACCTACAATCGCGAGACTGCACAGGCCATATCTACATTCCGGGCAAACTTATTGTAGGCAATTGAATGTTAAAGGTTTTTAATGCTGTTTATGTAAATAGTTATTTGTAAATACTTGTTGAAATAGTTTTTCATTAGAATTATATATTTAATTGTAGGATAAAATAGTTGAAAAAGTTTTAATGTTTTTTAAAAATTATATATATTATGTATATTACCAATAAATTATAATGGCAAAATGTCATTCCTATTATATTTGTTGTACGGATGGATGTTAAATGACCAGCAAAAGGTTTCAGATACATCATTCTTTAAGTTACCAAAGGATTACTAAACTAAACTACTTGTCTTTTGCAATTAATTTTTTTTTTAAGTTATAGTAACACAAAAAACACAAATAAAGAAATATTTTATGATATGGAAATAGAAAAATAAAAGAATGCAATGAAATAACCTTTATTATGTTCTTCCACAAATAGTAAGTGCATTGCACAACTTATCTGTTACAAATATTTTTAAAGTACACTAATTTGTGGCAGATGGTAGCCAAAAGTAGGATACCCAGTGCTAAGGAACTCCCGAAATTATATAAAAATGATTATTAAAATATTAAAACAGGCATATTATATACTTTATAGTTTATGGTACTATTATATGTATAGTGATAAATGCTTCTCCATTTTCAGGTCTAGTAAAGAGGAAAATGCTGGTGCTTGATTTAGACGAAACTCTTATACATTCACATCATGATGCAATGTTGCGGCCAACAGTAAAGCCGGGTACTCCTCCTGATTTTGTGCTCAAAGTGACTATAGACAAACACCCAGTCAGATTTTTTGTGCATAAAAGGCCGCATGTTGATTACTTCTTAGATATAGTAAGTAATTTTTCTTTTTTAACAAACATTTCTTAGATATTATGAAGGAAGGGAAAGTTTCCACAATTTAGTTAGGTACATTAAGTACAAAATGCATTTTTGAATATGAGTTACTGCAATAAACGGTTATTTGTTTTGATATCTTTTAAAGGTAAATGTTTACTAATACTAATTATTTGTAATATTAATTAATATTTATAAATACTAATATTTTTTAAAGAAGTTAATTGTTATTCATGAAATATGTAAGTGTCTTTAAAAGTATATTTATAGTTATTATAAGTTTGGGTCAAAGAAATACAGAAGTACAGTGGTCAGGGTAGTGGTCATCTATAGCCTTAATACAAGCTTAAAAAATAATAATTATTATATTATTACTATTATTTAAGTTGAAAGATTTTAATATTTATAGCTAAAAATGATAAATATACAATGTTTTTAATAATTTTTATTAAAACACCTAATCATGCAAAGTGCCATCTATATAATAACAAAATTAATTCTTGAAACGGTTTTTTAAATTAAATATATACTCTTGATAAATTTTGTTTGTGTAGGTTCTAAAGCAAAACTATTTTTTATACTTTAGATTTCAGACAACAGAGCACTATTCTAAATGTAATCTAATAAAAGAATTACGCAGTGGAAAAACCCCTTGTCTAAATACAATTAAACAAATTACCAACATTTTAAATGTTATCTTTTGCAGTTATTTTTTTAATATGTGACCTGAACAGCAACACTATCCAACTGTACCCCCAGGACTCACCTTGGAAATCCTGGACAATGTTTTATTGCCTAAATTGTAACTATAAAGCGTTTTATTAGACTCTGGTGAAAAATATGACACACTAAATGTTGTGTGGGTTGTGATAGTCGATGTGTAAAAATATTTGTGTTATCTACAATCAAGCTTAATAATTAAAGAGTGAAGTATTGAGGAATTTATTAAAATACCATTATTATGCTTATGTTATTAATAAGATGTCATCATTAACCCAGGCTGGCTTCAACTTTGACTATACAGTAGAACGCCAATTATCTGAACGCTGATTATCCAAATGCTGATTAACTGAATTGCCAATTATCCGAATCGGTCCTAAGTGTAATATAACAAATTAAAACCAAGTACTATAAGTAAGTAATGTAATTTTTGTTTTGATTTGTTGTAACAAGTTGGAACTCGCTGGAGTCCAGATATATTTCAACTGCTATGGTTGAAAACTAGAAGCAAAAAACTACATGTGTTGCGTCACGTGGCTTCCGTTTTTTTATCAACTTGTTATATATCATGGATTGTTATAAATAATTATGAATGTAGGTACTTGCATAACATTGTTAAGAAATAATGTTAGTTAAGTCAACTAGTTTGTCATTAGTTTTGCTACCTAGCACAATACACTGTTTTTACCTAAATTACGGTGTTTTATTGGATCTAACAGTGGCGACTTAGTGTAAAAAGTGAAACAATGGAACGTAAATCAGTGAAATTTCACGAATTTAATTTACAAAGTGATAATTGGGACAATTATATAGAACGATTAATGAACTGTTTTGATGCGAATGGAATCGTCTCAGACATGGTTCAAAGGGAGAATTTTTTCACGGTTTGTGGAGCAAATGTATATGAGACTGTTTTGGCATTAATTACGCCTAAAAAATCTAGTGATGTGACATTCGCGGAAATTATAGCAATTCTTACGAAGCATTATAGTCCAAAACCAAACAAGATTTCAGTGTCTTTCCAATTTTATAAACGTTGTCAATAAGAAAATGAATCAGTATCAGAATATATTGCACATACTAAGTGCAAGTTGCAATTTTACGGACTTGGAATGTATGCTTCGTGACAGACTTGTGTGCAGTATGAGTGATAAGGAATTGCAGTATGAATTGCTAAAAAAAGACAATGGAATGGAATGGAAGAAATGTGGATGCCATGCTATCATCTGAAAGTGCAGTAAGGGATGTCCGCATATTGCAAAGTGTGACCAGAACTTACTTTGCCATCTCCAGTGATTCAATTTCCACTACTTCACTGGTAACACCATCATGTGAGCCGATGGATGTAAATGCCATGAAATCTCAAAATAATATTATATTCTGCTACCGATGTGGCAATCGTCATGGCGGTGTGTGTCGTTTCATAAATGCTGTTTGTAATTTTTGCAAGAAAAAGGGGCATATTGAAAAAATTTGCACAGCTAAAAAGAAAAGCCGTAGGGGCAATGTGAATTATACACAAGAGTTAGATACACACCTAAATGGCATTTATAACTTGGATTGTTTGACTTCATGTGTATCGGCATATAGAATAAAACTTCTATTGGATGGTGTGCCAGTGATCATGGAGGTGGACTCTGGGTCTGCTTTCTCAATTTTAAATGAACACACATGGATGCAGTTACACTCTAGAACTATACTAGAGTGTAACTGCTCAATAAGTTATGTATGTGGAACAATTCCCCGGTACAAGTAATGGGACAAGCTACAGTGCAAGTGCAATTTAAAGACATTAAGTATAATTCGAATATTGTTATAGCGAAGGGCACGGGCCCAAATCTTATTGGTCGAAACTGGTTTAAAGCATTAGATATTACTTTAAATACTATTAATGTTATTGATATTGATATGACAGATATTGATAAAGTGCTTAATAAATATAATACAGTTTTCAGAGAAGGGCTTGGTATAATAGGAACCCTGTGAACATACAAATTAAGCCTAAAACTGTTCCTAAATTTGTAAAAGCTCAACCAGTGCCATTCGCATTAAAAGAAAGGATTGAAAAGGAAATCGATCGTTAGTGGGGGAAGGGGTACTGCGCCCTTTATCTTTTTTCTGAATCGGTGACACCAGTAGTTCCTATAGTAAAGAAAGATGGAGATATACGACTTTGCGGAGACTATCGAAGTATGGTGAATCAAGCTACTGAGTCGGATACATACCCAATGCCCGCGGTTAGTGAAAGTTTTGCAGTTATTGCAGGTGGCTCTTATTACACGACACTTGATTTAGACAGAGCATATACACAAGTGGTGGTCTCAGATGCCACAGCGAAGCTCTTAACTTTAAATACATGTAAAGGATTTTATGCCGTACACAGATTGGCATTCGGCATGAAGGCGTGTCCGGGAATATTTCAACGCCTGATGACCGCACTACTAGCCGGCGTACCAGGTGTAGCCGTGCTTATTAATGACATCATCATCAGCGGTTGCACATTGACAGAAATGACTAACGTCTTGAAACATATGCGCATTGAAAGAGCAGGGTTACATCTTAATAAAGATAAATGTAAATTTTATAAAAGATCCTAAAAATATGCAACAGTTACAAGCTTACAAGCATTTTTAGGCCTCTACAACTCTTATGAGAGGTTCATACCTCACAAAGCAACTATACTTGAACCTCTACATAGATTACTTGATAAGTCACAAATGTGACAATGGACTGACTGAGAACAAAATAGTTTCCATACTGCCAAGTGTTTACTTTCTTCAGAGTTGACTCTTGTTCATTACGATCTTAATAAGCCATTGGTTCTTACCTGTGATAGCTCTGAATACGGCGTCGGCGCTGTATTGTCACACGTCATGGAGGACGGAACAGAGCGGCCTGTTAAGATGGGCTCTAGAACCATGCATGCGCATGAGAGACGTTATTCCCAATTGGAAAAAGAGACCACTGCTATAATTTTTGGGGTAGTTACATTTCATAATTACCTGATGGGAAGGTCTTTCACGATTAATCACAGACCACAAGCCTTTGCTTGGTATATTTGATCCTCAAAAGCCAATGCCAGCGATCCTGTCACCTCGCTTACCTAGAATTGCGTTAATACTTACGTCACAGAACTACAAAATTGTTTATAAGCCAGGTAGAGAAATTGGAAATACTGATGGTTTAAGTCGATGGCCACAGCCAGTTCCAGATCAACCAGAACAACAGCTTTGTGATGTTTTGCTTATGGCAGAGACACCTGCTGATTTTCCAGTTGATGTTGATCTCATAGCATTGGCAACGAAGAGAGACCGAACTTTATCACGAGTAAGTCACTATATACTAAGTGGTTGGTCAGACAGAGTCATGAACAGTGAACTGCGTCCGTATTGGTTACATCGTACCGAACTCTCATTACATGAGGAATGTATTTTATTTGGTTGCCACGTAGTGGTGCCGCCATCGCTGTGTGAGCCTTGTCTAGGTGCCTTACATAAGACACACGTTGGTGTCGTGTAAACGAAGGCATTGGCAAGAAGTTACAATTGGTGGCCACAATTGAATCATGACATTGAAGTTTTAGTGGGTGAATGCTCAAAATGTTTAGAAAACAGGCATATGCCCCCTAAAACAAGCTGTGAATGGATAACACCAACTAAACCGTGGTCTTGAATTAATGTAGGACTTTGCGGGATCTTTTCAAAATAAGACATTTCTGATTGTCGTCGATGCTTATTCGAGATGGCCAGAGGTTTTTATGGTTAACAATATGACCTCTGGAACAATTATTCGACATTTAAGTGATATGTTTGCAACACATGGATTGTGTGAAACTTTGGTTTCAGACAATGGAATCCCATTTGTATCGACAGAAATGAAAATATTTCTTGAAGCCAATAAAATTAAACATGTCACTACAGCACGTTATCACCCGGCTACCAATGGTTTGGCTGAAAGGATGGTCCAAACCATTAAGGACAAACTACGCAAGATGGATGGTATTCCATGGGATATCAAACTCCCTAACATTTTGCTAGGTTTGCGTGTTACACCTTGTACAGCAACTAAAAAGAGTCCAGCAGAACTTTTAATGAACAGACGCCTACGAACTTTGCTAGATACAATACATCCCGATAATCGCCACCAAAGAAAGAGAACACAAAAAATTATTAGTAACGCTCAAAAAATTAACAGGTAATAAAAGACGGGCCAAAATGTAATGTATCGGAATTATGGTAATGGGCCAAGATGGTTACCAGGAACTTGGTAACTAGAAATGGACCATCTAGTTTAGATTGCTACGGATGATGGATCTTTAGTAAATAGGCATATTGATCAAGTAATTAACAAAAGGCAATAACTGATTTCTTATATTTACGCGAACACTACACATTGAAATAATACTAATTTTTACGGAATTTATCGCGTATATTTAACTTTTTTACCCGACGTTTCGAGAGCTTTACAGCACCCATGGTCACGGGAAGGACTGAGATGTTCAACGTCCAGCTGTCATAGTTAACCGCGGTTACCATAGATTACCATACCATAGAACAAAAGTTAAATTTTAATCTATGGTAACCGCGGTTAACTATGACAGCTGGACGTTGAACATCTCAGTCCTTCCCGTGACCATGGGTGCTGTAAAGCTCTCGAAACGTCGGGTAAAAAAGTTAAATATACGCGATAAATTCCGTAAAAAATTAGTATTATTTTAACAAAAGGCAATCTAACTTGAGTGCGAGAGAGGATAAAGAAATGTCCGAAGAGCAAGATATCGCAGTTAATAGTGAACTATTGGACTTAACAGAGGAAATAACTGACTATAACTTAGGGAAAGATAAGACCAATAATGATGTAAGAGAAGAGACTATTGAAATACCTAGTCAGGGTAAATGGGCGGAAATGTTAGGTATACCAACTAATACGGAAATAACTTATTCTGGGGTAAAAATTAGGAATAAAATGAATGTTCATTCTAAGTCACCATATGAGAGACGTAATAATTTTATAGCTTAAGTTTACTTGTTTTAATATAAATATATATATTTAGTGTGTTAGATTATGTTAAGTATTAGAAGTTGATTATTGAGTTAAAAATTAATATTGCATGTACATGCTTGGGGGAGAGGTATGTTATATATCATGGATTGTGATAAATAATTGTGAATGTGGATACTTGCATAACATTGTTAAGTAATAATGTTAGTTAAGTCAACTAGTTTGTCATTAGTTTTGCTACCTAGCCCAATACACGTATTTACCTAAATTATGGTGTTTTATTGGATCTAACACTACTCAAATAACATTGAATTACTGTCAGTGAGCTTCTCCCTCTCTTGTATATTTTCTATCATGGGGAGTGCCCAGAGCAATTGTTTGGATTTATTCCAGCTGCCAAATTACACAAACGTACCTGCAATTCCCCTTGTGTTGCGGTTGTTAATGGACGGCGGTAGTCACTTACCATCAGGTGAGCTTGTTTGCCACCTCTTCTATAAAAAATAAACATAACAAATTATTAAATATAAATAAAAATCCTTTTCATCCTTCAATAAACTTTCAGTAATTTCATTACCATCCATTCCTTTCGATTCCAGGTTTCGCAGTGGTATGAACTAGTGGTGTTCACAGCATCGATGGAAATATATGGTGCAGCAGTCGCCGATAAGCTAGACAATGGCAGAGGTATTCTGAGGCGGCGTTTCTACAGGTTTGTCATAGCCTTATTTTTTGTAAAAGGTGTAACAATTAATTTTTTACTGTGAAACTACTAACATATTTTAACAGCTTAGCTTAGTCAATAGTATGATACATTCAAACAACTAAAAAAGGCTTACACACATATAATATATCATATTAATATGTAGTTACCGTGTAGTGGCGGTGTAACAATTATTTTTTTACTGTGAAACTACTAACATATTTTAACAGCTTAGCTTAGTCAATAGTATGATACATTCAAACAACTAAAAAGGGCTTACACACATATAATATATCATATTAATATGTAGTTACCGTGTAGTGGCGTAGTAATAATAACCACTACCCGGGAAACGAACTAGGAGATGGGCAACAGCGTCATCCTAATATAAAATTGAAAATAAAAAGCTGTAGCTTACTTACATGCCAAGCGTAGCAGCTGTGGCAAATATCCCCCCTAATGAGACAGTTTGAGGGGAGACCTATTCAGCATTGGACTTTAATATGCTGTAATAATATTTAATATGCAGCACAGAGAAAACGGTACTTACGATAATGCTCAATCAAAGTGAATCCAAACTCAACATATCTACAGTTAATTCTTATAACGTAAAATCATATAGTAACGAAACCATCAACTTACTAGATATTCTCTCTCTCTGTCTAACTGATCATGTTGCTACTTGTGAAAATGAGACGATGCGAATATTGGCATTTGTCATGTGTTAGCTGTTCAGTTGTATTGGGTTGCTAATCTAACTATGAACGCCAATCACGCCAGCATATAATTGTAATTTAAATTTTATTTTTTTAATTACTTTTGAACCATTAAATAATAATAAAATGCAACATGGTTTTTTATTGCATTTGCAGACAGCACTGCACCGCGGAGCACGGCTCCTATACCAAAAATCTGTCGTCGATATGCGACGACCTTAACAGGGTCTTCATCCTGGACAACTCGCCGGGGGCTTACCGGGACTTCCCAGGTAATCCATTTACATTTTCAAAGTTATTCTATTAAATTAAATATACCTCAAACTAAATACTTCATAATGTTGATGTCTTTAAATTCATGTTGTTTTGAAACAATTATGTTTTTTATCTGCTTTGTTTCTGTGATTTGACCTTTATCATATTGAATAATAAAGATTCTTATCACATGTTTTTTTTTTCATAATAAATTTAGAGCAAAAGTCGACCGGATGGGAGACGTCATAGCATTTCCAACCTTAACATTAAATTCAATCGTTTTTTCTGTGGGATCATTACACACAATAACCTTTTGTGCATGTTGTCTTTTTATTGCTATGCTATTGCTATTACATACACACCATGTATAATATTGTTATGTATTGATAATATTGAGGGTAAAATTGTAATATATGTGGAAGGTATATTTGATTAAATGGGTTTGTTTTGCAACTTGATCTGGCGTGTATATTTTAAATATATACGCTAGAACAAATACGTTAACAATGTAAAAACGAGGAAGATCAGTACATTAAACAGGCTCTCATAGACATTTGGACTAGTTGATAAACTGGTTGGGATAGAAATTTTTGCGATATAAAGGAGACGGGCGAAAGTTCATAGAAAGCTAGGCCTGATGTTACAGTAATGATTACTGCATTATTTTATTTATATACCAATATCATTTTAAAAAACTAAAATGTTTACGACTGCTTCATGGTAGAAAAAATATAGGATGTTAATGGTTTGTATACAAACAATGTTATTGTTTACGTTATACTTACAATGTTATTCTTACACCAAGCTCTCACATTACACTTTAAGAAAATAATTATTAGACTTTATTGTAAACTAGACTTTACCATAATTTTATGTATTGTAGGATATTCACACATTGAGGATTCACACGCCGCCGTCCAACAAAATTCTAGAGGTTTGAAATAATTATAAAAAAGCAAAAGGAGTATGAATTAAAAACTCTTTCTCTTTTAATGATTTATTAATCGTCAAACAAATGAAATATCGTCTAAAAACGGTGCATGCGGTATTAAATTCTCTTGATGCCTTACCTAGCTTAGGTACCATATTATGGACATTACATGACAACAGCAACCTACAGTGCTCCTACCAAGCAATTCAAATAATACTGTAATAATACTGTCTGTTGTATTCAGTCAATTTATTTTTACGACTTTTTTGAAACGTTGAAGTGTCACGAGGGAACCATTATTTAAATAATAAATTTCTTAAACTTACCTAAAGAAGAAAACACTGAATCACTTTTTATTCTTTTTTTCTATTTTTGTATTAAAATCGATTAACTAACCTATTTCATCCGGCAGCATTGTTTAAAAATGAAAATAACGGAAGTCAGTATTATTTTTAATAAATATTTAATTTCTTTTGCCATAATAAAACTGCTTAATATTTCATTATTAACTACAAAAACCTGTAAAAAATATTGATAAATATTTCACTTGTGTAACATTAGGCCCAAATTTGCCCGTCTCCTTTGAAACTTCATTTTTATATAATACAATATGGTAATTTGATTGCTTATGTATGACTTATGTATGTCTTTGTTATATGGGTCTTCTCAGTCGGCTTCGGTCTACTTGTCTAATCATAGGGCAACAGAACCCAAGGAACCAGAATCCTGCCGATTTCATAGAAAAAGAGGGACTCTTTATGATGAACTCTTTCTTCCTTCCCTTCTAAGTGGCCCCACAGAAAGTGGATATGGTCAAGCCCCGACGGTTCGACAAAAATGTGATTGGCTTCATTATGACGACTACACAGCAACTGTTTAGTGATGTCTCGGTGATCGCGAGGTTGAAAACGGGCAGCGATCACCGAATGGTGCGGGGCACACTGAACCTAAACGTTAAGTTAGAGAGGTCATGTCTTATGAATTCAATGCTCTGTTCCCCTCATGCTCTAATCCAAAGTCCCATTCAGCTCGAGTTACAAAATCGTTTTCAGTGCCTATAAGACTGCAATGCAGTGTATGTTATTAATTATAAGCTCGTAGAAACTGTCTATGCGGTTTGCAAGACCCGCCGCAAAAGAACACAAAAATTGTAAAAATTGTGCCAAATAGGAAAAATTGTGCCACAGTTCAAAAAAGGACAAACTATTGAAATTGGTAATTACAGACCGGTGTGTATATTACCAGTTATATCAAAGATTTTAGAAACTGTCTTAAAATCTAGGATATTAGACTACTTTGAAAAAAAATAATCTATTTACTGACTGTCAATTCGGTTTTCGCAAAAAAAAGATCAACGGAAATGGCTATTAAAAAAACAGTATACTTTATATTGGATGCTTTGGATAGATCGTGGAAGTTATCTAGCATTTTTTGCGATTTATCTAAGGCGTTCGATTGTCTGAGGCATGATATCTTAATTCATAAATTAAAATTTTACGGATTTGAAGGAAAAGAATTGAAAATAATGCAGTCTTATCTTAACATTTATAACATTTATAACTTTTGTACGCCGATGATCAAGTCATACTTGCGTCGTCGGCGGCCGAGTTGCAAATGATGGTTACATTAATGAACAGGTCATTAAAAGAAAGGGGAATGAAAGTGAACGCAAGTAAGACGAAAGTGATGGTTTTTGAAAGAGATGAAAGCAAAACGGTATGTGAAATAAGAATAGAAGGAGAGTTAATTGAGCAAGTGGACGAGTTCGTATATTTGGGATGTGTATTCAGCAGGGATGGGAGATATGATAAGGACATTGAACGACGAGTGAATGCAGGAAATAAAGTAAATGGGGCTCTACACTCTATTGTGAAAAGTGAGAATGTGTCAAAAAAGGCACGTATGGCAATGCACAGTGCTGTATTAGTCCCTACTTTAACGTATGGTAGTGAAAGTTGGGTGTGGCAGAAGAAGCACGAGAGTAGAATAAATGCAGTAGAAATGCGGTCGCTAAGGAGTATGTTGGGGCTGAATCTGAGTGGCAGGGTGAGAAACTGTATGATAAAAGAAGAGTGTGGTTTGCAAGATGATGCGGTGACCAGGATTAAGAAAGGAATGCTTCGGTGGTTTGGTCATGTAGAAAGAATGAATGCGGAAAGACTGACAAAGCAAATATATGTTGCAGAAGTGAATGGAAGAGTCGGAAAGGGACGTCCTAGGCGGAAGTTTGTCGACCAAATTGGCGATATACTAAAAATGGGCCAAATTAAGAGTACCCTTAACCGACGAGCATGTATGCGTAGGTATATGGATGTGGAAGAGGCGAGAAAGGTATGTCAGGATCGTGCTAAATGGAAGTCTGTAGTCTCTGCCTACCCCTCTGGGTGACAGGCGTGAGTGTTTATGTATTTATGTATTATGTATGTCTTATCTTAACAATCAATGCAAATAGTTAATTTAAATAATACTAAGTCTGGTTCACAACATAGTTACATTGGCGTTCCGCAGGGCTCTATCCTATGACCATTGCTGTTTTTAGTGTATGTGAACGACCTTGCAAATAATTTACCTGACTGGGCGATGGTTACACTATTCGCGGATGATACACAGGTTGGTGTTAAAGATAAAAATGCAGTACAATTAACCAATAAGACAAATTATATTTTAAATATGCTTAAAAATTGGTTTGAAGCAAACGGAATAATTTTGAATACAGAAAAAAGTATCATTATTAATTATGCAAGCAAAAAAAAAAACAAATAAAGTCACAAAGAGTGACGTCACATTTTTAGGGTGTACTCTCGATTTCACTTTAAGTTATGATACCCATATAGAAAACGTCTGTAAAAAGTTAGCCAGTACTAATTACGCTTTATTGAAGCTTAAGCCCATTATTGACAAGAAAACTCTTGTATCCGTCTACTTTGCATATTGTCACTCAATTATTAGCAACGCGGTTACGATATGGGGAAATGCTACACAAATTGAAAGTGTACTGATTTGTCAAAAAAGGTCGATTAGAATTATGTATGGATTGCAAAGATTGACATCAGCTAGAGCCTATTTCCTAAAAGCGAAAATTATGACTGTCGTGTCGTTATATATTTATAGATCGCTTCTAGAAGTGCACCAGGAAAAAAGTAAACTACCAATGAAGAATCACGTCATCATCATCATCATTACAGCCCTTCACAAGTCCACTGCTGAACATAGGCCTCCCCCCAAGTAATGCCACAAAGCACGGTCCTGAGCCACCTGCATCCATCGACTTCCTGTGGTGTCGCCCTACACTACGCCTACCGGTACGAGGCTGCTACTCGAGAACCTTTCTTCCCCATCGGTTATCGGTTCTTCGAGCTATATGGACGGCCCATTGCCACTTTAGCTTACTAATCCGTTGGGCTATGTCAGTCACTCTGGTTTTACTGCGGATATCCTCATTTCTGAGTCTATCACGCAGAGAAACTTCGAGCATAGCCCTCTCCATAGCTCGCTGAGCGACCTTGAGCGTCCTCATACGGCCAGCAGTGAAGGACCACGTCTCAGATCCGTAAGTCATCACTGGCAACACGCACTGGTTGTACAATCCAGTTTTTAGAGATTGAGGTATACCTGACGAGAAGATATGTCGTAATTTCCCGAACGCTGCCCAGCTGAGTTGAATCCGTCGATTGACATCTCGGTCGAAGTTGGACTTACCTAGTCGGACTATTTGTGCCAGGTAAACGTACTCGTCAACAACTTCGAGCATAGTGCTCCCAACAACTACCGGCATAGGTGTGACATGGACATTAAACATAATCTTTGTTTTGTCCATGTTCATCTTAAGACCTATCCGTTGGGAGGCACTATTGAGGTCATTGAGCATAGTGCTTAAGTCCTCCAGCGATTCTGCCATAAGGACTATATCGTCGGCAAATCGAAGGTGAGTGTTGTACTCGCCATTGATGTTAATACCGTATCCTTTCCAGTCCAGTAGCTCGAAAACGTCTTCCAATGCTGCGGTGAAGAGTTTCGGGGATATAACGTCACCCTGTCTTACACCTCTCTGCAGTTGGATAGGTTTCGAGCTCTGGTTCTGTACTC